TCGGCACCTAAAATAAAATAAAAACATCGAAAATTAGAGCGAGATAGTTGCGGAATAATCGAGAAACTAACCAACGCTTTTAAACATAAGTTACACCTTGCTAAGCAGACTATCAAAATAATTATAAATGTATCGTAGGAACATACCTGCGCCAGAACGCATAGATTCGCGTTTTTTTTTTCAAGTGCTTGCGAAAAGTAGTCATCAATATCTCTTTTTTATTTTTTATTTCCTTTACTGGCCTTCCAGTAAGTTCAGCAAGACGAATCCATGCATCTGCTTGTTTCTTCTTATCTTTATGATTTGCATCTTTCGGATTCCAGATGCATGGTTCCATTTGGTAATGTTCCAGAAACGAAAGACTCTCCTCATTCGACCAGCAACTCATTTTTTATTTATTTTTTGTAAAATCAAGCAAGCGTGTACTCGCCGCGAGATCACAATGGCTACTAAACGCGGACCAACATGTAAATGCATCGCAAGCGCTTGCCGCAAACGCCCTTTGATCTGCGTAAAAAAACCGACACTCGACTGGATCGGAAGCAAGCAGGCACAAGCCCACGCAAGCCAAGCCAAACGCCCTTTTTACATGCTTGCGATTGTCGATCCTTGCCAAGGCTTGGCAAGCGTGTAAACGTACCATTACATGCTTGCGATTGTCGATCCTTGCCAAGGCTTGGCAAGCGTGTAAACGTACCATAAAGCAGGAGAAGGAACGGGGGAGTTTTAGTCAGTAAGAGTCTGACACTCGACGGGAGAAGTCATTTAATTTGCAAGCGACACGTAACACCTGAGGCGAAAAGCACCTTCTAAGGTTCAAGAATTTCAGAATTCGGGATTTCATTGCTGATAATTGAAGGATTTGAAAGATGGGGTGTCCAGTAACCTCACTCACACGGCGAAACACAACGCTGTGATTATTTTATGCAGGTATTCTGTGAGGCCGTGGTGTCACTCCGATCAAGCCGGCAGCCGGCCCATTCGTGCTGAATCATGACTCCCCCACACTACATCCAGGGCAGAACGCAAGAAAATAAAATAATATTATTATGTAAATATGTTTTTATAAATACCTAGATTTGTCCCACAGCTTAAAACCTTTGTTCACCAGGGATAGTGTACATAGCTTCCAAAGAGAGAAAGAATTATTCAAATCGGTCAAGCAGTTTCTGAGCTTACATCAGTATCTACGTTTAAACAAGCAATAAAATATTTCCCCCTTTATTATATGGTACCAGCTACTCTCGCGCGGTTTCACCCGCTGCTCGGCTCCATTTGATCGTAGCGTGATGTTTTATAGCCTATAGCACTCAGAAACATTGTAGCTATCTACCAGTGAAAGAATTTTGGAAATCCGACCAGCGATTCCAAAGATTACCCCCTACATACAAACTTACAAATTTTACTTCTTTATAACATTAGTATAGACTAGCTGACATGGCTAACTTCGTTCCACTTCAAAATTAACTCAAGTTTTCAGACCTTCTAACCTTCCCTGGACTTCCACGAATAATTCAAGACCAAAATTAACCAAATCGGTAAAGGCATTGTTGAGTTATAATATTACATCGAAAAGTGGCATTGATTTGTATATACTAGCTACTCTTGCGCGGTTTCACCCGCTGCTCGGCGCTATGTAATCGTAGCGTGATGTTTTATAGCCTATAGCACTCAGGAACATTGTAGCTATCTATCAGTGAAAGAATTTTGGCAATCCGAACAGTGGTTCCAAAGGTTACCCCTTACATCGTCATCAGCCTGTTATCGTCCACTGCTAGACATAGGCCTCCCCAATTACACGTCACTGAGCTCGATGTTTAGCTCTTCTCATCCAACTACTGCCAGCCACACCTTTTTTTTTTTTTTTTGTCAGGGGAAAATCATCCAATGACTTCTCACGCCCAGGGTAAGGCGAGAGAGAGTGTCAGACTCTTACTGACTAAAAACCCCCCTGTTCCTTCTCCTGCTCTGGGCCGAGGTCGCGGTGCCTCATTGCGCTTACCCCGCAGCCCCGGACTGCCAGCCACCCTGCGGATATCGTCAGTCCACCTAGCTGGAGGGCGCCCTACACTACGTTTGTCTAGTGACTGTGACAGTGATGTAGACCCCCTACATACGATCTTACAAACATACAGACTTATATACAAATTTTACCTATTTATAATATTAGTATAGATTATGTTAATGGACAAACGATCAAATTACCTGATGGTGAGCAATCGGCGCTGCCCATGGACAAACGTAACACCAGAGGAGTTACGAATGCGTTGCAAATCTGTTGGGGATAAGGGTTTCAGAGATTTATGAGTATAATGTTAGTATAGATTGACCAATAAAATGTGAAATATTTCCTATATAAGTATAATAATATTTTTATGGGGCATAAATGTAATTTTTACTATGTGTAAAATTTTCAGGTAAGTATGTAATAAAAATAAATATTATGTACCTACAAAAATTTATTTATTTATTTGAAACTAGCTTCCACCCGCGGTTTCGCAGGCGTGATATCTTGATAAAAAGTAGCCTATGTCCTATTCCGGAGTGTGTACTATGCCCGTGCTAAATTTCATCCAGATCCATCCAGCCGTTTTGGCGTGATTGAGTAACAAACATACAAACATCGTAACTACAGAGTATTAATAGTCAAGCCTTCCAAGGTATTAAAATAAATACTTTTCGCGTTAATACCCGTGTAATTATATAAGGTATGTCTTTTTATTATTTTCTACAAGTTATAAGTATGGACAATTTAACAATGAGGTTCTTAGGCTCTAAATTGATAATATGTTAGCTAATAAAGTTTAAATTTATAATATTTGTATGTTTTTTATACGACTTCTTATAATAAGAAATACTAAAATGGTTTAGATGCCTTTATTTAACCACCTAAACCGATATACCATAGAATCGAACAAACCGAATAAAATATATTCCACTATTTCTTGTTTATTATTGTCAGAAAAATGGGCAGGATAGAGTAAATCCTAGAAAGATAAAACCTCTTTGTGGCAACTACTAGCCACAGATTAAACATTTGCAATTTAACTAAAAAAAAGACCTTTTATGATGTAAATAATTTTATTAAGAAGTTTGTTCAATTTGTATTCTTCTTTGACATTTTTATTAATTTAATATTTGGTACGATAGAGTATTTAACTCTATTATGTCAAAAAAATCTTATTAATTTGTGACTAGTTTATTAATTGTATGTGAGACCATATAAAATTGTCCATCCTTTTTTGTAAACATACATTATTGCAAATAAATGATTTCTATTTCTATTTCTATTTCTAAAGAACGTTTTTTTTTGTTTACTATTGACATGATCACAAATCCGCCTTGAGCAAGCGTGGTGATTAGTGCTCAAACCTTCTCCGTGTGAGAAGAGGCCTTTGCTCAGCAGTGGGCACTTATAGGCTGTTGATGTGATGTGTGATGACATGATCACCATAAAATGTTAATTACGTAAGTGACTAAATAAATAGGATTAAGTTTGAATCTGTTTTGGATCGAGCTAGCGAAGACCACCCGAACCAACCAACCCCCAACTATCTTGATATACCTGAGTTCTTTGTTTCATTGTAACATGGACCTCGCAACTTTTTCCGGTAGAAGAATTGTGTTTCTGCCATTTTGTTTCAGCTGGGCCGGACCTTTATTACCCCTTTTAGATTTATTTTAGATGTTAATAAGTGTAATCAACGGTCCTTACTTTACCATTCTCATCAGCCTATAAGTGCCCACTGCTGAGCTAAGGTTTCTCCTAATACCGAGGTTTGAACATTATAATAGAACTTATAAGTCCAGGTTCCTTACGATGTTTTCCTTCACCTTATGCCAATAGTGTCTAACAGTCTAAATAATCATAGAAAGTACATACATATATATATAACTTTTAAAATAAAAAAATCACATTGGTGCTCGCTAGTTTTCGTACCCTCATGGATGAGAAGCGGACACCTTAACCTCAGGGTCAGCATGACGTCAAAAGTATTTGTGCATATAGCTTATGAATTTTATATAGGAGATTGTATGGAGTTCCATTACCTAATAAGCGTAATCTTTGTACCACAGAGCGTTGCTAAGCTAAAACGGTTTCGTATCACGAAACCGTTTTGACAGTTACCATAGCAACGAATTGTATAAACTCGACTGCGCTCTTTCTTTTAAACGTGGTGAGTGTTTTTCATCTATTTTAAATTCAATGTACCGTTTGTTTTAATGTAATATTAATTTAAATTTTTGTAAAAGTTATTCATATAAAAGTTATCGGTAAGTACCTAAGTAAACAGCAGCTGATATATGGTCTATCAAATAAGGATTTGACATTGTCATTAGGTTATTTTCATATGTAGCGCCACTTTCAGACTCCTTTTAACCCTCCTTATTTAATCACAGAAATCGAAATCATTAAAAATTTTAATGAATGTAGTTGCATGCCTGAAATATGAATACAGCCCTTTCATAGAGTTGATACTCAGAAAAATCATTTTAGGTACTCATGTGTTGTTGAGTATATTAATTACTAGCTACTCTCGCGCGGTTTCACCCGCTGCTCGTCTCCATTTGACTGTAGTGTGATATTTTATAGTGTAAAGCACTCGGGAATGTTGTAGCTATCTATCTGTGAAAGAATTTTGACAATACGAGCAGCGGTTCCAAAGATTACCCCCTACAAAATACGACCAGCGGTTCCGAAGATACACACATACTTACAAACATACAAACTTACAAATTTTACCTCTTCATATAGACAAGTTAATTGGTATATAGTACTTATAAAAAATTTTCATAAAATGTATTGGTTAACAAACATATTATAATTTCACATACACATCACACCCAGACCCGAATTAGCGTAGAGAACTATCGAAATTGGTTCAGCTGTTCTCGAGATTAGCACTTGGCAACATACATATTTAGCGATTTATTTTTATTTTGTCGAGTGGTTAATGAAGAATCTTTTTCTTCCAGCGAGTAGAAGTAAATAAGTCAAGATGCCGGAACTAATAGAACAGATGTACAGCTCCCAACAGATTGTGATACCGCCAAAGTATCCTTATATTCTCAAAAGATACTGTAAAGGTATGTTTCAATTTAGTTATTTTATTTATTTCAAGGAACGTGTGTAGTATTGTCTTCTAAGTGTGGGAGAGCCAAGTTACAGTACGAATGGGTCGGCTTGACCGGAGTGATACGACAACCTCATAGAAAACTGGCGTGGAACAACCACAGCGTTGTGTTTCGCCGTGTGAGTGAGGTTACCGGAGGCCCAATCCCTTCCTCTCCCCCAATCCTTAAATATCCAAAACCCTTATCCCTTAAAGGCTGACAACGCACTCGTAACGCCTTAAGCGTTGCGGGTGTCCATGAACGGCGCTGATTGCTTACAATCAGTTATTCCGTTTGCTCGTTTGCCGACCTATACCATAAAAAAAACTCTGCCTATTTCACCGCAATGTGTACTATTCCTTACTCCGTTTTATTTCCCGTTAACTGAGAATCGAACAAAACCGAAACGAAACGAAACGTCATGTTGAATTGTCCATGAGTTCATATGTCAGTGAAGCAAGCGTTCTAAAAAGTAGATTCGTATGAAGAAGTAAACAAGATACAGCAACATTAGTCTTAGAATTTATTGCCTGCATTCTCTTTCTCTGCAATCGCATAGAACGTCGTTCTGAGTCTGAATGATAGAAAACGAAACGAGATACGGCAAATCATACGTATATAAAGAAGTACATTTTTTGGATAATACACCGAATTTCCACATGCTGGCTAAACAATGAAACAATAAAATTAATTTATTTTTGCTTATAGGCTTTAAAACAACACTATTACAAGTCAAAATTATGACAAAAAAAGGTTGGCATATCCTATCTCTTTCTTCTGACTAACCTAAATAGAAGTAATGCTAAAACAAACTTGGAGGCCCAAGACGAAGAACAGGTCAGTCTCTTTGAAAGTACAGACAATGTTATTGTGGGGGGGATGGGCCACACAATCACATTAGTAAAAGCGGTCCTAAATCAAACCAATAAAAATCTTCAAGGACATAATTTTTACTTATTTTCTTTTTCCCCCAGCGGCCATAAAGACTCAGCCCTACGACCTCCTTCGATGGTCCTTTGAATATTTCAAAGCCCTAGCTGAACATCGACCCCCGCCCGTCAAGTTACGCCTGGAGTATCCTATTTACAGCACTGAGGGGGGACTTACCAGGGGATGCCTGAAGGTCTTGGCTCATCAGGTATTGTAGAAAAGACTAGAAAATGTTTATCTTCACACCTAATTTTTATGTCTTTTTTATTAGTGCGGATGTAGCCATGCTTCAACACGAATGGGTCGGCTCGACCGGACCGATACTAGGGCCTCTTCTCTCTTTCTTCGAAAATTTTAAGACGAAATAAGACTTGCTCTTTTGAGAATGTACGAAATCACAATGCTACATTTTCGACCCAGGAATCGAAGAACCTAAACCGTTTTCTGAGTGCGGAAAATCATCCATTTATGTTTCACCCCTACTAGTGGGGCCAATGTTTTTTTTTGTATACTCAATACTCAATACTTTATTGCGTTCCATTAGTACATATAAGTCTTATAAATTATTGTCGAGATCATAATGGACCCTGTCGGGCACAGAAAAGTTAGGTGAGAGGAAGAAAGACAAGTAGCAATTAGTTATTCAGGCTCTAGGCTTGTGCCTTTTGCGATTATTAAACTGTTACATGAATGGCTTTTTTCCCTTACAGTCTTTACAAACCAAATGCTTGTTCGCCGACCTATCCGATAAAGAGATATTAATAATTCATTCATAGAAATCAGCTTGACGTCATTTTCCAGCTATACGGCATGTCCGACATCCCGCTGTCTACTCTGAAGCAGGCATGGAATGGCTTCTGCCTGGACTCCATGGAATTGCAGAGGATCCTGTGTCTCTGCGAGGTCTACCACAGGCAGGATGATGTACCATATTTGCATTTTCTGGCTGTCGCTGGTGGGATGCTTACTAAGGTAATACCTAGTTTTGACTGGTTATAATATACATAAGGCCCAGGAGGTGCCATGCAGTTTGAGTGATTTTGAGAAGTTGGCAAAGGCTTGAACCATAAAGAAGACCTTCATAGTTGATAGGATAAGCCCACGACAACCTCTCGAAACCATTGCAACTCCAGTAAGCCAGTTTAGTGCGTCTCAGAGACTTGATTAAGTGTCTTGGATTCCGCAACGAAATAATTCAAAAATATTTTCTAAGTGGGTAGTCAGAAAATATCTTGCAGAGTTGATTGCTATGATGCCATTGCTAACGTTTACCTATCTATAAATTACTAGCGGCCCGCCCCTGCTTCGCACGGGTCCAACTATCTCGCTATCAAAGGGTCACTTTTTCCTAATCTTCCCCTCTACTTTTCTAATATTTTCTTTGATAAGAACCTTCTCCTGATAATAAGAAACACAACAAAAAAAGAATTAGCAAAATTGGTCCAGGCGTTGTTGAGTTATGCGCTTACCAATTTATTTTGCTATCCATTTTTATATATAAGAAGAAGATTATCTGAGACGAATAGAATTGTGAAGTATTACAAATCAAAGAGTATATAAACAAAACGTTCTATCACAGCCAATCCTGGGAGATTTAAGTGATAAAAAAAGCATAGGACAGAAATTCTGTAATCACTAGAAAGTTTTAGTTAACCCCTGTTTAGAGAATAACAAAGTATAGTTTTTAAATACATTTTTATCGTAAAACTCTTGTCTGTCATCGTAGGCAATGATGTTGTATTAGGTACAATTAATGATTTCTATTGTTTAAGTAAATTCGCGTTAACTTCCGTGTCTCCTGTTTCCTTACACGATTAGTTGTTTTTTATTTGTATTTTGATTCTGTTTCATAAGAGTATTTGCTACCTCGGTGACAGTCATTTGTTTTGTTAGATAATTGTTACGGCTTCCAAATTTTATTATTTATTTATTTCTCTTTATAACATACTAGCTACTTTCGCCCGGTTTCACCTGCTGCTCGGCTCCTTTTGATTGTAGGGAGAGATCATTTTATAGCCTATAGCACCCAGGAACATTGTAGCTATCTATCAGTGAAAGAATTTTGGCAATCTGACCAGCGGTTCCAAAGATTGCCCCCTACATAAAAACTTACAAATTTTACCTCTTTATAATAGATAGTATAGATAAAGTTAATTATAAACTGACCTTATTTAGAGCATATTGCCAGACTTGCATCTTGTTTATGAAGTGTGGGAGAGCCGAGCTTCGGCACGAATGGGTCGGCTCGACCGGAGTATACCACGGGCTCACAGAAAACAAAACTGCATTAAACAACCATATCGTGGCGCACCGAGTGGGGTTATCGGAGGCCCAATCCTTCCCGTCTCCCAATCCCTCCTCAATCCCTAAATCTCCAAATCCCTTATCCCTTATCCCTAAAAGGTCGGCAGCGCACTGCTAACTACTCCGTTGCGGGTGTCCATGGGCGGCGCTGATTGCTTGCTATCAGGTTCCGTTTGCTCATCCCTTCCCAATCCTTAAATATCTGCCGGCAACGCACTGATAACTCCTTTGGTGTTGCGGATGTCCATGGGTGGCGCAGATTTTTTGCTTGACGTTCAAAAGTGCCTGTTGTGGTCTACTTGAAATAAAGAATTTGATTTAGTTTGATTGCTTACCATCAGGAAATGCGTTTGCTATCACATAAAAAAAAGAAGTCTGGTGAATATAAATAGGTTTTAATCAATGTATTTTCTTTCAGTGTCTAACCCATACCATGATCCTGCTCTGTGAGTCTCTTACCAAGGAACCGGACGGTGGTGCAGCAGCTATTCCTGTTGAGGAGTTCCTTGCCATGTACCTTTACCTGGCGAAGATGGATGCGTCCAAAGATGTGCAGTACCATAATGGATTTAGAGAAGGTTAGTTCAGCAGAGTTAATTTATAATCACTACATTGTATAAATAAATCACTTTCTCGGTCCCTATATCCCTATGTATGCTTAAAACTGTGGGAAAGCCATGGTTCAAATGGGTCTGCACGACACGTTGTGTTCCGCCGTGTGAGTGAGGTTACCGGAGGCCCAATCCTTCCCCTACCCCAATCTCTCTCCATTCCCAAAATCTCCAAATACCTGATTCTCAAAAGGTCGGCGTCGCACTGGTAACTCTGATTGCTTACCATCAGGTAATGCGTTTGCTCGTTTGCCGACCTATCACATTAAAAAACTACGCTACAAATTTTAATGCGGTTTTGTTAATATATAGAGGGACTAAAGAGTAATTTTTATACGAGTAAGTAATAGTATCCGTTAAATAGTAGAGATATTTAGGATTAGCATTGCAACCGTGCGAAGCCGGGCCGGGTCACTAGTTTATTATAATTTAACATTTCAATCGTGGTAATTCTAAACACAATATGTGCGTGGACGCCGATGTTTGCTTGGAGTTTGATGAATTAATACATCTGATGAGTGTGTTTCTTGTTTGTGAAGGCGTTTTCTTAGAAATTGGAAATCTGTCTGCTCGTTTTTCGCTCTGTCCTATAAAAAAAAATCAAGTCTTGTGAATATTCGTTTTACTCATTCCACTGGGATCGAGTCGAATAAAAGACTGTCCATTTGAGAGAGACTGGGAATCAGCGCTCTCCGATAAACCGGAATCTTCTGAACTGTGATTTCCAATCTACCAACCAGGAGAGGAAATTATCGTAAACCAAGCAATGTTAGTGAGGGTTGTTGTCCAGTCGTGGACCCTCTTGGACACCTTATTTTGGCTGGCAGAGATGGATATGAAGAGTTAAAGATCAAGTTAGGCTCTATGCAATTTCAGGACTTTTTTTGAGGGGACAACAATCAAATAACTTCTTTTGTCCAGTGTGAGGCGAGAGGGAGTCAGACTCTTACTGATTAAAAACCCCTCTGTTCCTTTTCCTGCACTGGGCTGAGGCCGCGGTGACTCATCGCTCTTACCCTGCAACTCAAGCTTAACATCAGCCCTATAGATCCCTGTCTGTGGTGGTCTATTCGCTCTTTGCGTACGCTCGCTTACGCTGGCCGGAGATTATCTCTCGATCCCCCATACCTGGAGTGTTGCCTACTGCAGTGGCTGGGGCGTTAGGAGGAACGTAGCTTCCTCGTGCAGTCCACCACCTTTTTTGCGAGCATAACCGCTTCACAGCTTCCTCTCGCTCTACGCCATGGCCTCGACTAAGGCCGGGCGCGAGAGCGCCGATCAGTTCCCTGAACACACGGCGATGCTCAGCCCAAGCTGGCCATACCGCAACCTCCACCGTGTTCTATGGGTGATCCTCATAATGATTGCGATTCACTGCACTGCTCATAGCAAGTCGAGGCACGTCGAGATTTTAGTCATTAAAATTATTTTCCGCCCTATACATAGCACTGTATAATTGACTGTTCTTGGCATAGGTGAGCACACCAGCTTTTTACTTATTTCCGGTACTGTACAAATCTGGGCTGGTGATAATGACAGAATTATGACGACAAAAGATAACGGACCTCTTATTCCAGGGTCTGTTCCAGAACCGGAGGTAGAAGACGAAGAAGTTACTCAAACTGAGCCGACGTCTGAACAGGTGAGTTTTAAATAGTTATCCTTATACTATGATAGTCCATGTTATTTTACCGGGCGAAAGTTCCAAAGAGACAGTTTTTGTTAAAGTAAATGGTGATATTCTAAAAATAAACTAATTTCTCTTTTGGTTATCATCGTTGGGTCTGGACTTACTTTGACTTAATATCCTGTGTCCCCTAGATGGGGCAGAGGGCGTCCACTGAAGTTCTCCATCGCGATCTGTCTTGAGCTTCACGCTTCACCTCACTCCACGTCATACCGATGCTCGTCGCTTCTGCCAGTACGGTGCGACGCCAGGTTTGCCGTGGACGGCCACGCTTTCTTTTCCCTTGGGGATTCCAATCCAAGGCTTGCTTGGGTATGTGGCCAGGACCCCTTCGGAGCGTGTGCCCTATCCATCCCCACTTGCGGCGCTTGATCTGTCGGTCGATTGGGCTTTCGTGGCATTTCTCCAAAAGCTCTATGTTGGAGATTGTCTCGGGCCAGTAAATTTCGAGAATGCGACGCAGGCATCGGTTAACGAAGACTTGAAGTTGACGTGAGATGTCTTTGGTTACCTTCCACGTTTCGCACCCATAGAGCAGTACGGATTTTACATTGGACCCGAAGACTGTTAATTCGGTTTTTATATTTTCGCAAATCTAAGTTTAATAGCATAGAATCTGGAATTGCGGCCCAATATTTTTTTCAAAGTAACAGTAATAACTAATTTCAAGCTTTCGTGTCGGTTAGTCCTATAGTGTTGTTTATGTCTTGTTCCAAACTGTGACAGAGTAGACCGAACAAAATATTCCACAATTACTCTCTTTTATGGTTACAGTTTTATAATCAAATTCTTATATCTATAATTATTTAGTAAGTTACGAGTTTTGCACATACTATACATATAATGGCATTTTCTAACAGTCAATAGTGGGATGGTGCTGAGAAAACAAAAGTTCCTAAAAAACTTATGGCTTATGGTTCGTGTTACATCTGTAAATAGTAGGAAATCAGGAAATAACCGGATTACATTCTTTGGGGATATATGGCATTTAAAAATCAAATGCATCAGAACAAATAGCTTGGCTCTATGGGAGTGATACCACGGCCTCACAGAAAACTGACTCGAAACAACCACATTGTCAGGTTACATAGACCCAATCTTATTCCCTCCCCAATCTCTTAATCTACGAAAACCTAACCCCAAAAAGGCCGGCAACGCACTCGTAACTCCAATGGTGTTGCGGGTGTCCATCTGCGGCTCCAATTGTTTACCATCAGGTAATCCATGACAATTTTGCCGTCACATCGCATTAAAAATATCAAGAGTAGTTTGGTGGCACCAAGATTTTAATATAAATTAAATCTAATTCTTCTTCAGCCTGAATCGGATAAAGAAGACGATTACTGGGAAGGCCAGGACCTTCAAATTTTGCCCTTGATAGATGACCACGTCCCTAGAACGGCCAGGTTGAGTGTGAGGCTGAATCTCCCAACCATTGGGACGATAGAGAGATCTCCCTCTATAGAGAGAATGAGAGAAATTGAGAGAGAGAATTATAATCGGGAGAGAATCGGTTATTTTTTCTTCTTTTCTATAGTAGAGTTAGAATAGAATTTTATGATGACCATCTTTAGTATTCCCGTGGGTGTTGTAAGATCTGATAGCGACAGCACGTTTAGCAGTGACTCCATAACCTTTTAAACCTGAAAGCTTTTAAACTGAGGAACCAACCCATCTGGCAGGCACCAAGATTATGGCAAAATCCTCTCTTTATTTATTTGCTACATGCCAGCTTTTGGTTGCTTTCTGGCCTGGTGGTAAGCATGATGGAGATCACGCTTGTCCATACGTAACCTATTTCATTCGGGGATGACAGGCTCTGGCAAGGAATTTGACTCTTTATTGAGGAGGTCCAGAAATGGACAGTGACGGGTTGTTTATGATAGTGATGTTGTTGAGTAGAAGAGTGTAGGAGCAGGGTTTGATTTAGGACAGGAGTATATCTTAACTCATTTTTGTTTTGGTGACTACTGGAGGAAAATTTGGCGCCCTCTTTTCATACAAGGGTGCAGTTAAACCTGATAAGTAGCAATGTGACTTTTCCGAGTTATATGTACTTCTAAAGATTAGTTAGTCACCACTGACACACGGTGAAGGAAATCAGCGTGATGAAATTGCCAGTGCCATTTGGCATTAGTAGTGATTAATGTTCACCTTTGCCAAGTGAGATGAGGTCTTTGTTCAGTTGGTACTAGACTGATGATGTGATGGGAGGGACATTTACCGGGAATTTCTACGAATTAAATACATTTTTATTTCAGATTATAAAATTATTGATTTATTGATATTTTCAGGGATACCTATGCCGAATGAAGAGATTGATGTTAGTTCAGAAATTGTTTTGTTTTATTTAGTAGTTGGTAGTTATACGAGTATCTTGTATAGTAGTATAGACTGTCTTGTTGTCATTGCAACAGTAATCCTAACTAATATTATAAATGCGAAAGTAACTCTGTCTGTCTGTCTTTCTGTCTGTCTGTCTGTCTTTCTGTCTGTCTGTATGTCTGTCTGTCTTTTCTTCACGCCTAAACTACTGAGCCGATTTCTGTGAAATTTGGTACAGACATAGTTTGGAACTCGAGAAAGGACATAGGATAGTTTTTATTCCAAAAATCTGCAGGAAGTAACTTTTCCACGTGAACAAAGTCGCGGGCAAAAGCTAGTTATTATATAATTAACTAGCTTCTCACGCGGTTTCACCTGCTGCTCGCGTGATCTTAGCGTGATGTTTTATAGCATATTATTATAGCACTCAGGAACATTGCAGCTACCGATCAGTGAAAGAATTTTGGCAATCCGACCAGCGGTTCCAAAGATTACCCTCTATAGAAACTTAAAAATTTTACCTCTTTATAATATTAGTATATAGATATATACAGTAATAATGGCAATTGATATAGCAGTTGTGGTTTAAGGAGCGTTGAAATTTATTGAAAATGACTATGACTCACTTAATTCAGACTAATAGAGAAAAGCTCTACAAGTTTCAAGTCACAACGGGACTCTTATTCATGAGCAACGTGAATGAGACACTTACTTAATCTATTATATCTATTCAGTAATGACAAAAAATTTGGAAGTGTGGAAGTACCACGCTTCCACAGTTGGGTCAATTCGAGCGATGTGAGACCACGGCCTCACAGAATACCGGCTTAAAACAGCGCTTGCGTTGTGTTCTGCCGCTCATTCCTTCCTCTCTCCATCCCCTATCCTCAAATCAAACAATCTTCTAACTCCTTTGGTCTTTCGGATGTCCATGGGTTGCGTCGTATCTTCAGGCGTTTCGTCTGCTCAGTTCACCACCATCATCATCATTATCAATCATTTTTAGACAGATTGCTCGTTAGGGCATTATTTCTTCAAACAATATGTATTATAAACTACCTTCTGCCAGCGTATACGCCAGATTAAACTGGAAAAAGAAACCCATGTGTTATTCCAGACTGTAATGTGTGCAGGATTTCATTTAAATCCATTCAGTAGTTTTTAGTTGATTGAGTCAAACTTTCGCGTTTACATTATTACTAGCTCTTACCCGCGGCGTCGCTCCCGTCATCTGACTACCTACCTTACTCTACCTACCCTACTTTAGCTACCCTGCTCTACCTACCCTACTCTACCTACCCTGCTCTACCTACCCTTCTCTACCTAACCTAATCCACCAACCCTACTTTACGTAACCTACACTACCTACTCTATCCTATCCTATGTCTTTCTTCTGGCTGTAAACTACCTCCCTGCCAATTTTCAGCTAAATCGGTTAGAGCCGTTCTTGAGTTATACGTGGAGTAACTAACACGACTTTCTTTTACATATATTATTATGATGTTTTAATCCTTAAATCTCCCATCCTTAAATCTCTATTAATATAAATAAGCCACCAATGCAATTGCCCCGAGCGTACGGCGCGTAGCGTTCCGCACGCGCCTCAAAGAGCCAATAGACCACCTCAGACGGGGCCCTATAGGGCTCAGCCTCAGCCGGGGTTGCGGGGTAAGCGTAATGAGGCACCGCGACCTCGGCCCAGTGCAGGAGAAGGAACAGGGGGTTTTTAGTCAGTAAGAGTCTGACACTCCCTCCCGCCCGACCCTGGGCGGGAGAAGTCATTTGATGATTTTCCCCTCACAAAAAGAACCAATGCAATTGCAGTTTCTCCTTTGGCATTACGAGTGTCCATGGGCGGCGCCGATCACTTACCGTTAGGTAATTCATTTGTCCGTTTGCCGACCTATCACATAAAAAATATTTAAGTAATATTAGTAGATATGGATACATTTTTTAACCGTTGATGGTTCCTCATATCTGAAACATTATAGAAAATAGTTTTACGTTTCCTTGATTTGTATAGATCTAATGTAGCTCAATCTCTGTCCAATCCTTTGATGCTTTTATTGGTGATGTTATATCATATTATTTAAAAGTTGCATAATTGGCTTTGAACTTTGACTTACGATCAGACAGAACAACTATTGATAGTTAAAAAGTAGGTACGTGGTTTTAAAGGAGTTAAATACTGTTTGAGGGTGCAAGTGGTAGATATTTATTTTAGTCGATTCATTTTTGTTATAACTTTCGTGAGACATTCTAAATTATTTATTATGTTTTCGGCTTACTCACGTAATAATTTGACGAGATACTCGACTAGTTTCAAGCCATGCTAGAGGCCCATATTCATGAGCAGAATTCCGCGACACGCGACTCGGCGACTGTCGCGCTGCTACATAATAAATAATTTAGTCGATTTATTTAATTTTTTATATAACTTTATTATAGTAGGTTTTGTTATGTTTTATTATCTTATTTAAGCACTAACTTATTAAGTCAAACAGTTACATAAGTTCAGGACTGTTGTCTAGGTCAACAGCTCACTAACTCCTAAAATACAAGCGTGGCTTAGTTTAGGAGTTAGAGAATTCCAAAAGGTACGAAATAGTGTACAACCTTAAAGACTATATATACTCTTTTAATTAGATTAAGAAACTTTTGTACCAACCTTGATGGAAATAAAATTGTTATTATTATATTATTTATATATGTTTTTACAGAGAAAACTAAAATATCTCAGTATTACAAGAATGCAAGAATCCGGAATGTTGGATTCTGGTAAGTGTTTTTTTTGTTTTTGTCCTTGGACAATTTAACATCCTTTCCATCAAGTCAACGTGTAGGTACCTAACGCTATTGTTATTGCATCAGTTGCAAGTGCAACTGTGAATGTAGTCTCGGGTTCGAATCCTGAACTTCGTAAAGGGTTACTGGGTGTTTTCAATGTTTCTATACTAAAAGACGTGTAAATATTGTAAATAAACACTTGTACAAAATATTTTTTGCTGTGAAAAAATAGCTTTCATTGCTTTTTCTAAATTCTTCTGTCACAATTAAGGTGAAGTGCCCAACAGGGTCCATAAATGATCTTAATACCTATGTAGGTACATATTACATCTTCTTCTTCTTAAGTTTGAGTTTGAACTCTCTTTTTGGTCACCAGATAGCGTTAGTGTTACCTCTAGTCTTTTCGACCAATAGGGAACTAGCTCACTGTCACTTCATTGGACGTTTAACTTTTGACAGCTACATAGATTGGACAAACTGTCTTTGTAGTACATTAGCACCATCTAGTGTGTTTAAATGGCAGCGTCTATTTTATTGCCAACGTTGTGCGAAGTTTTTGCTGTATTTCTTGTTATTTCTATAAGAATTCTGTATATATTTTTATTTTTATGTATATATTTTTATATAAAGTGTCAACACGGCTTAAAAGGTTTACAACGTTTAGTTAATTCCTTATTTGTGAACCGTCGTTTTCATCAGAATCAGTTATTGGGTAATACTGTCTTTTAAATAATTATACAGAGTGAGTTCCGTAGGGCCACCAAGAAATATTACTTTTCCGTGTATTTACGTTTCTAGAAGAAGACAAAACAGTCAATAATATTATTCCTCCTTTAATCGGGTAGATGCTTTATTCAATAAAAAATCTCAAAATCGCATAAATCTATTTGCAAAGATCCCTTATGTCGCTGTGGCCTGGAGGTTAAAGCACTCCTTCTCATGCAGGAGGGTACAGATATGATTATTTAGACACCACTGACATAGTACGGTAAAGGAAAACATACAACAAATTATATGTTAGAAATCGCCAATCCGCTTGAGCAAGCGTGGCGATTAATGCTCAAACCTGCTCCGTATAAGAAGAGGCCTTTGCTCAGCAATAGGCACTTATAGGCTGATGATGTGTGATGTGAGGGACCCTTGACTGGATTAATCCCGTCCATAACTAACGAGTTTGGGAAATAAACTGCTCAATGTTTGTTACATAGATGCTCCAATTGAAACGGAGACAGAAGTAGAGGAAAAAAGAAAAACAGTAGACATATTCGTCTATGATGAAGAAGATAATCCGGTCAAATATGAGTTTTATGGTTCTCATAGTTTTTTTTTCTTATTTGCTAACCAGTCGCATTTTGCAGATTTTTCTAGTTTATACATATATGACGGAGGGACGAGCGGGATCGTTGGGGAATTTGTTGCATCTTTGTAGCCGCCATATGTGTAGTGTTGGTGATGTGAATTCTTCGAAATAAACACGGAGATTGATCATAAACAATCTCTTTAATCGATTTACTTAGTAATTTTCATGAAATATGGTAACTGTAATGCGATGTAAACGGATTGCAATACGGAACGTGGAGAGTTCTGTGCTTGCGTCCGTTCAGTATAGCGGCTCACGTTGCCTACCTCTTTTAAACCAAGCACAGACCAATCCCAAGCGATGACAGCTCAATGTCATAGCCCGACGTTTCGCACGATCGAAGCGCCACCCTGCCGACATATATATGCACCACAGCTTATAAATATGATAAATTTTGATTAAGGCCGTCCCGAACTTGCACAGTCTTTAAGCCGTAGGCTCCAGGCTAAACAGTCTTAAAATTAAACAACAGTGTAAATCTGCAATTTGCGATGGTTTTACTAGCATTGATAAAATCGATCAGTTATTTGTTAGCTGTTAGCTAGTTTTTTTTGAATAATGTAGACAAGTACATTAGTAGTATATAATATAGAATAAATTCGTTATGCAGGTATAATCATCATTTTGTTTTATGGTTTCTGCGTTAACAAATTCTTTAGAACGCAAATGTTGGTATTTTTGTCAATATTAGAGTAGTATTAGTTTCTCTATTGTACTTTAGCCTTTACATAGTTTTATTTTATTTCATAGTAAGTATAAGTATGCGAGTAGGTGTTTCTAACAATAATATGACAATATTTACTCATGTGAATAATTAACTGGGAAAAGCTATTTTAGTCCCAAGTTACAGCAAGTAGCTTATTTGACGCTTAATAGTTTTTCCCAGTTATTAGGTACACGTGAGTAAGTGTTTTTAATGTGTGTAGTATATGCCACGATAGTAAGGAAATAGTAATATGACGTTAACTGATTTCTTGAGCATAGCTCTTATCTAGATTAACTTTTAGCTCCATAGCCAGTGGTTTCAGAAATAGTTAGTACCAAAGTACATTTGAGCACACAGCACTGATTTAAATAGAAGTTTATACCTTTAGGAGAACCTAAAGAAGAGATAAAAGAAACTGTGTCTGAAACAGAAGAAACAGAAGAAAATGCAGAAGAAGAAGAAGAAGAAGAAGAAGAAGCCGTAACGGAAGAACTTCCACCAACACCGAGTCCCGATCAGAACGATAGAGAAAGAGTCAAACTATTCTTATCTGAAGTAATTATTTATTACAAACTTGTTCTTCCGATGGTAGGAGCTGTCCTTGACAGTTGAGTTGCCACGAGTATTCGGCTTTCGGCCTCTTTTTTTGTTATTCGCTAATTCGACCGAATTATACGTACTTACATGTCTCTCACTCAAGATTGTATGTTTAAGTTAGTAAATGATAAGTGTGATGGATAAGGACAATCATTTCAGCATTGTATTGCTAATAACCGATTAGTTTTTTTCGTAAATGATTCTAAAGCTCGTACTATAATGTAAATTCCTGTGGAAAAAACATAAATTGCAGCTACATGACTAACAAGTTTCATTGTACTTAATAGGTTTAACAGAATTCTTGATTTTATGCTTAAAATTTTGGATGAAAGCCCGTCCAGCATAAACGAACTTAAGCTATGATTTTCAATTGTTCGTGCTTACGAACGTGGAGTTGATGAGAACGCTACTCAAATAGAGGAGGTCTATACACTTTTGGTAGTTAGTAAAATAGATTCTGTCTATTTTAATATGATTTTCCTTCTTCCTTAACCTTTTCCTTTCCATCATAGATAGAACAAGTGCGAGCTGAACGTCTAAGTGATATAGAAAGGACATTTGATGAGATAGCCGCCCTGGTGGACAGATATGAGACGGCTAACTATGACCTTGGTTAGATTTCTTTTGTTACTCTACAAGAAACAAGCGTACTCCTTCTTTAAAAAGGCCCCATCTTCAATCCTCAAATTTCGTATCCTTAAATCCCAAATACTGACTTTGACTGCACGGCTGGTTCGGTGACTGGGCAGCTGGCTGCCGTGCAACGTGTCACGGGTTCGATTCCCGCACGGAACAACTCTTTGTGTGATCCACGAATTGTTGTTCCGGGTCTGGGTGTCATGTGTATGAGAAATTGTATGTTTGTAACTGCACCCACGACACAGGAGAAAATCCTAGTGCGGGGAAACGTTTTTTTAAACCCACAAGAGTTCGGCAACGCACTTGTAGTAACTCCTTTAGTACTATGAGTGTCAATGGGCGGCGCTGATTGCTTAGCATCAGGTAATCCGTCTGCTCGTTTGCTGACCTTGACAAAAATACGCTTCAAAAAGCGAAAATATGATCCCAATCTCCTTTAAAATTAACAATTGTTAATAAAAGGATGTGAGATATTGCCTTGCCTTTTGACTACTAACTTTTTATGTATTTGTGGGACCTACACAAATGTTCTTTTGGTAATACCGACCAGAAGAACATTTGGGTAGGTCTTTCCAAAAGACATTTCGTCCGTCGTTCGCCGGACAATTCAACACCAGCAGTTGGCTAGCAGTTAACACTTGCATGCCTTTCTTCAGAATGGGTCCACTTAAGCTGGTGTGGTTTTTTCTTCAAAAGACCACCACAGAATGTACTTGCACGGTTCTTTTATATCATATTTATTTGTCTGAACTTTAACAGGGACTGATGACTGAGTTTGATTTGGCATTTCTTTTCAGAGTAGTCTCATGGAAAATGCCGATAGCATCTAGTTTGTTATTATAATATTGATGCGTAAAAGTGCAATTTTATTGTTTGTTTTGATAGATTTTTGTAGATCTCGCTTTTAGCGACTAAGAAACCTAGGATAAAGCTATCTAATTAGTTTTAGATAATTATTTCCTCTGTATGTAGCATAGAATCATAGGTTAACGCACTATTTGTAGAATAAAATATTTAACTATGCAAAATTGTAGATACAATAAGTAGTAGTTTAGAATCTATCCTGGTACTGAATTTCATCAACACGTGTTTAGAAGTTAAAGCGCCAAACACTACCATTTCTATTCGTACATAAGATAGGTAGTAGAAATAAGCTTAGTCATAATCTTATAGTTTCCACAGAAGCCATCAGTTCAACCTACTCCGATTTGTCACTTATCAATCGATTTTCAACTCCATATCTTTGCAATTAAGTTGAAGATCTATTTGACAGATTGGTATACCTTGATCTGCTGCTATCGATACAATTTATACCTTCACAGGCATGGTGGCTGGACGTCAAATGTCGACCACCAGTGGGGAGTTCATTGTCCAGCATATTGAAAAGGAAATTATGTCGTACATCAACGAACAGATCGCCATATTACCAGACCCTGATTTGAAGAAGAAAAAGGTTTTATTTTTTTCCTTCCAATCCTCCTTTTTTACGTCATAGGCCGATAAACGAACAGACACCAACTACACCAATGTGGCTTTTTAGGGATTAGGATTTTGGAGATTTCGGGATTGGGAGAGGAGAATTGGGCCTCCAGTTACCTCATGTACACGATAAAGAACTCACAAGGAAACACAACCCTGTGATTGCGTCACGGCAGTTTTCTGTAAGGCTGAGGTATAACTTTGGTCGAGCCGACCCATTAGTGCTAGAGTCTCCCACAATTTACTCCTCTAGGGTTGCGGATGTTCATGTGCAGCGCTGATTGCTTATGTTAGCAAGATTATTACCTGTTTGTTCGAGATAATGGCAATATTCCTTATTATTTTTACTTAATACAAATTTATTTTAAAACATGTATAAAATAATAACAGGCAAAACCAGAAGAGGTGGCGATGATCAAGGATATCCTGGAGACTTTTCTGGATGAGAACATCGACGCTATAGTAACAGAAGTGGAAGAAATTGAAGAAGAAGAAGCGCCTATACCTGATGTAAGTGATTAGTGTATTACAATACTAGATACTGCCTCAGTTTCACCCGCGGTTTGGATCCTATTGGTTGTAACGTGATTTTAATGCTGTTCGCGGAACGGTACTCTAGGACAAGGACAGAGTCAGGAAAAAGCTATACCGAATTTACTATAACCACGTCTATAATAATATCTTATACAGTTCGGTCGGTTTTTTCATTCAATAAATTATCTGGCCTAAACAATAGCCTATAGCATACTGCGATAAATGTGTTACCTAACACAAAAATAATTGCTATTATAATCGAACCAGTAGTTCCAGAAATAAATGCGCTCAAACAAATAAATAAGCAAAATGTTCAGCTGTGAATGATTAAGAAAATGGGGTTCAGCGATATATTCAAAATTAGTAGTTTTTTTTAAATAGCGACTTGTTACTAGTCACTTGTTTCAACTGAGAAAAGTAATAGGTACTAGTTTCAAGTGACAATGGGTTCATGAGCAACGTGCGCGTCGCCACGATTTTTGTCAGTTGTGTGCGCGACTGATGAACGTCGCGTTTGTTGATTCACGTTAAAAGTCATTATTTTCGATAAATTTACGTACGTCATATAACAGTTGCTAATCAAAAATTCGAATATTTTCCCTCACTTATAACTAGGAAGTGTGTCATATGAGAATAAGAGAAATCAAAAGATATAACAATACACAAAATTCTTTTAAAACCGTAGTTGATTTGAACGAGATTGACTAGTGTCAAGATCCAATTTTAAAGAAACATCCTTGAATAATTTGGCTTGTCTCTTTTAGATAGTTGTGGTGTACGCAGTGCCTGGCATTGGGCCTCCAGTGGACAATGAAACCATGGCAGACTTTGAGGAGTACATCAGGGAAGTCTCCAAGGTTCAGGCAGATATGGTGATGCCTAGAAACATTAGGCATTTCCTTTGCCCACCGCTTGAGAAGTAAGTGGCTAAAAATATAATAAAGTGTTTGAAACATAATATGTATGTACTTATCGTACATTTTAGCAGCGTTATTAATTACTGCTCCTCATTCTTGTTTGGTGACACATTTGGCCGCTATTACGCCTAGTAGTAAGCGAATTCGCGACCTCCGATGGAGAACCCTATACATAACCAACCTATTTACTTGGGCTTGAAGACATCCAGGTTGTATATCCTATAAAGTTATATGTATGTACTTTCTATTATTTATTTAGACACTTGTGACCCGGACTTATAATTTCTGATTATAAGTTTCAAATATTCTCCGTGTGAGAAAAGGCATTTGCTAAGCTAAAGCAATAGGAAAATAAAGGCTGGTGATGTTATGTGTTTGAAAAATAATGCTTATTAAGTACTACATTAAGATTTCACATTTATTACTTAGTTGAAAAGAAGTAAGGACGTTATTTTTCAAACAAATCATGAAGTCGCTATTAGGTTTCGAGAAATATAATCGTACTCTACCTGTTCAATGAAGAATAATATCTATATATTATGCTAGCATTAAAAGCAATTCCAGTTTATGAATAACAACCTTATCTTCACGCGATAAAGTTGAATATTATGTTAACATTTAAAACTTTTCTTTCAGATACATCGACCAGGATTACGAACAAAAAGAACAGACACATACTACAGACGAAGTTCCCGTTGGTGGTACTATCGTCGAATAACTTGGAACTCTAATATTATTAGTATATAGTCCAGTTTTTATTGCACTGATCTATGTCCTATACTTATATTGTTAGTCAGTTCTTGTATTGTTATTATCTTTACCCTAAGCTGTATAACCATTGTTATCATCATCATCATCAGCATCAGCATCATCATACAACCTTCAAATCTTCAAGAAAAGACCATACGCTTTTTAAAAGACCAACAATATTTTCGTTTCTCCTCTGGTGTTGTGAGGGTCCATGGACAGCACTGGTTGCTTGCCATACCGTTGATTATTTAAATACCTCACTTGAGTTGTATCCCTTATTATTAGCCAGGGCCTAAAGCAGGTGAAGGGACGTGGGTGTTTAGTCAGTCTGACACTCCTGCTCGGCTTATCCTGGGCAAAAGAGTTACTTTATTGTTATGATGTTGGTAGACTTAGAGCATGCACTTTCAACAGGCCTTTAAGTATTAGTCCTAAATTTATCCAACCCTAGTGCACTTGTGCCGGTGTCAATCAGCGGCGCCAATTGCTTACCATCAGAAGAATGGCCTATTCGTTTACATCTTGTACCATGGCCTCGTCCCAGTTTAATAAAAATAGGTGTAAATAGTTGCGGCCCAAAACTTTGGTTTTGTAAAAAAGTGTTTCAATTTCTGATTCAAATAGGCGGGATTAAATTCCCTCATTTAATGATTTTAAAAGTCGTTGAGCCTTACAAGTATAGAAAATGCTGAACAAGGATCCGCGAACAAAGCATTAATCCAAACATTACTACGCGACAATTTTCATGAGCACCACCCAACGAATACCATCTAAATTGATAAGTACCTACACGTCGTAAGTCAAGTTCGTAATTTCAAGATGTCAGACTTGACAATTTTGAAACTTAACTGTCATTTGCTAGAATGCTTGCCAAAACGTTTCATAGAATGATCACCACCTTATTGAGTCACTCGAAAAGAGTAACAATGGAGGTTCTTGCTAATTCTTCTTCATTAGAATCTACACTTTGGAACGAACAACTAGCATCACTGAGGAACAAGCAGACAGAATTATTCTTTTACGACGTTTCAAAAGCGATATAATAATTAAATGATTTTGACTTTGACTCTGACGCCAGGAATTTTTTTTATGTTATAAAGATACTTACATAACATTCACAAGAATCCTCATTCTCGTTACAATTATTGACTTGTGCTCAAGATTATCTGCACTTAATTACATGTTAAATTAATTCCTGCTTCTTTTTTACTGGCTCATGCCTATAAAGTTTTATCTTCTGCATCTTCTAATATAAAGTAATTTCATCTGTCGGCGCTAAGAGGCAGCGTGACAAATAATAGGATGTTTATTTGAGCCGGAATATTTGATGCAGCTCTCATCATCAGCCGAAAAACGTCCGCTGTTGGATAAAGGTCTCCCCCCTTAGTCCTCCACTTAGAACGACAAGTTACCATTTGCATCCATTGGCTCCCCGCGACTCTAAACCTGTCTACCTACCAGGGGGCCTGTCCACGCTACGTTTTCCGGTCCTTGGTCGCCACTCGATATCTTTTCGGGCCCGTCGATCGTCCGTCTTTAGCCGGCAGCTCTCAAGTCTTTACAAATTAAAGAGGCAAAAGACTATTTTTAGTTTGGTTCGTTCATTCTAAGTGTGGGAGAGCCAAATTTCAGCTCGATCGGAGTGTACCACGGTCTTACAGAAAACCGTGAAACAACTACAGCGTTGTGTTTCACCGTGTTAGAGAGGTTACCGGAGGCCCAATCGCTCCCCTTCCCGCATCCCTTCGCAATATATCCAAAACCCTTATCCCCAAAAGGCCGGCAACGCACTCGTAACACCTTTGGTGTTGCTGGTGTCAATGGGCGGCGCTCATTGCTTACTATCAGGTAATCCGTGTGCTCGTTTGCCGACAAAAAAACAGTTCCTAACTGCATCTTTTTCATTAACCTAGAGTAATAAAGTTCACTAAAGCATCTTCGTTACTGGCCAATACCAATACAAGGTCATTTCAGCTTGTTTCTCATTGGGCCATTCTAAAAGTGTTCCTATCTGACACTTTTTCATTAGCCTCTCCATACAGTTCATTATTATCAGCCCCTTCCTCATTAGCCTTACCGTTAGCTGCTTTTCTCTCATCGACATCTATATAGTGCATGTTTGGATCTCTTTATTGTTAATCCATGTAATTGTTGTTTAATGTTGTTAACTTGATATGAAATAAATAATCAACTTTTATTTGGAGTTTTCTTTACACTATAATAGTATCTTTTACCTATTTTTAGCAACAAAACCCTGTTTTGCACGAGTGTATAGACCATTAATATACGTCCAAGTCCGGGTCAGACTTGCACGAGGAATTCGTCACAAAAATAACCTGCATGTTTTAAGTATTTGTTGTTATAGCAAGAATCATGAGGAAGCCTGACAATAGACTGGTTGACGGAAAGCGTAATCTTAGTAAATAGGGACTCCCGTTTTTTTTCGGGTTCGGAACCTAAAAAAGATGACCTTTGTTAAGTAAGTTATTATTTTATTTAAATTGCAAAACCATTGGTCTGTCCTGGACGAATATATTGCTATACTATATATTTAAGAGATTCTGGATTCAGGACAAGGAATTTAGGAATTTCATTGAGGTTGGGTGTTACCAATGAAAAATTGAAAACTTTACATTTGTTTTATTACATTATGGAATAATAAACCCCCCCATGTATATACCGACCTATCACCGAGTCACGTTTTCGCCTGCCTACAGACTATCACCGTCCTTTTCCAGCTGGGCGTAAGCGTTTAGCGCTGTCTCACTCTAGCTTTCACTGACATGGAAAAAGCAATTTTTTTACTAGTAAAATGCAAATTGTAAAATGCATGATTGTGTTATAAATGCAGAATTAAATCTATTCTTGATTTTCTATTAAAAAGGATGCACATGAAAATTAAACTTGCAATGTTGACGCCCCACTCAGCCAGTTAAGACGGTGACTATCAACCATTGAGCATATAACCTATTCTGCACGATTTTACCACCCCATCATGGTTTTAATGAAATACCATTGCCATAAACGACTGACGTCTAAGCAAAACAATAATTTTAAAGCATTATTATGCGGTTTTCGAACGCATCAGCCGCCATTTTGCATCAACTGTCAAAAATTGGCGCGATCGTATAAAATTTGAAACGTCCTATTAAATACGTATTTTTTTTCATCAATTTACATTTAATTTAATTAATTAATTAATTATAAATAAAGAAACAACATTAATTTTATTCAACATGGTTCGTTATAATTTTTGTACTATTTGTTTAGTTCAATTTTTTAAATTTAAAAGTTGATAGATTTAACTATCTACTTCAATAATAAAGTAGAAGACGACCATCTCCGAATAAACCTCTACTCATACTAGGTTCGATAACTACAAACCTTTTTAAAAAACGCTAATTAAAAATAAATTACATTTATAAATCAGCCAATACGGATCGCCATATTGAAATTTCGTTCGAAAACCGCCAACCTTATCATTCCAAAACTTGTCTACATTACGAGATAAAGCGAAAAAATGAAAAAATAATTCCGCATGTATATATTTGGATTTAACTTTGGGTAAAATGAATTCTATATACACAAAATAAAACAGTCGGTACGGACAATTTCACCGGAACAAACGCGGACAATATTTACTTAAATATTAATTAAATTATACAAAAAATTATAGAACAGAAAGCTCTTGAAAATAATTAATAACAATGTGACTGAAGTATTTTTTTTCAAAATGTACATATAATATACTTACAGGCAACAAACAAATTACTATTAGCATTACTCCTAGTTGTTTTTTATCGAGCCCACTGACTTAAAGAGTGAACATTTTTTTTTAGTTAATATTATGACACGTCAATGGTTCCGATAAACAAACTAGTTCCCTCCCATTCTCGAATTCACATTCCCCTTTTTAGGAATTCTATAAGTTTTTTTTCATCAATTTACACCAAGAAAACTTAAATTAATTCGACACTGGAAGAAAATTGGTGCGCTGCTTCCGAAATTGGAGTCCATTTTGTTAGTTTTTTCGTTGTTAGAAGTTTTCACAAACCTATTTGCGGTTACATTTATGTATTTTGACTTCTATTTCTTACGTGATTAGCGTCATATTAGTTGCTTTAAACAATTATTTTGCAAATACATTTAAAATCTTTTACGTCATTCTAAACGAAACCATATTCAAAATGGCGTTTGTAACCTGCAAACAAGGTTTGAAAAAAATCTAACATAAATAATTTTAAATGCAACAGGAACGTACAAAAATCGAATTACAAACTTGCTTAAATAAAAAAAAAACATGGGCAAAAATTCGGTGCAACAATCAATTAAATTTCAGCTAGAAACAGATACAGAATTCAATATAAAAGCAATGCTTATAGAGTTGATAATCGCGTGGCAATTTACCGACTCCAACTTCGAGCAAACACACCATATTTTACTTACATTCTTTATGAAAAAAAAAAGTTGTATGAGAGCCAAAGTGTTCTGCGTTAGACTTATATAATAAGAAAAGATGCTAACACTTAAATAACATGTCGTAAAAACTTAGGCATTACTTAATGAATACAGCTTATACCAAATATTGTTGAATTACAACTTGCGTCTGAAATAACCAAGTTATAAGTACGCAGGGGAAAAAAACATCAGGCCTGTTTATGGTCACTAGCATAGATAAAAAAACAGAAATTTTTTATTATCATTATCATAATTTTTTTATATAAAAAAATCAATAAATACCTACATTAATTATCACTAAGGAAGCGTCATTTTGGAACGAATTTTATTTTTTTAATTAATATATTTTTTAAAGGTTTTTTTTTTGCTTGCTCCGTCTAAGCGTTCCGAAGGACCCATGTCATTAGGTTTTTTTAATCTATTTTAATTAAAAATCTAGCTGACTGCGCTATAACTAGTCGTGAAAATATTTCCCATTATAGTAATGGAAGTATCTAAGCACATCCGTCGTTACTGAGGTATGTTTCAATATTATATTTACTAGAAAACATTATTTATAACAATGGTAACCCCACATATAGGTGAACGATTTTAATTATTGCTGTCGATAAGGAATTTTACAATAACAACTGAGTGACAAAAGGTTCTAAATAAATTAACAATAATAAAGTTCCATTTCATTAATATTAAAGTTGTTCGATGGGCCTCTGCGACTTGGCTTCGGTCCCTCGTACACCTTCCAAAGATCCGAGACCCTGTGGTCCCGTGAATAGAAGCGATAATAAATATCAATCTTAACAAATTAAAAAAATGCAAAAAAAACAACATGAATTCGTTTCAATTCTGACGTTTGACAGTTCTAATAGATGTCAGTGTCAAACGAACTGCTTCTTCTGCTCTTTCTGTATACCTACTTCATCTTATGATAACAACTTTGACCGTAAATTGGCGCCATCGTCACCCCTTTTTTATGTGGCGACTATAATATTAATGAAATCCAGTTGAAAATTAAGCCAAATCATTGCCACTCATCATTCTGTTTAAAAACCCTTAATTTTGAAATCAACACGAAAACCTAAGAATAAAAAATATTATAAAAATTGCAAACTTGTCTATTTCTTATTAACTGCATAGGCCACGGGCACATTTCCTTTAAACGACAAAATTACTTCAATTTCCCACGTAACTTACATATACCTAAAATATCAAAAATTGTATGACATGGGAACTTCTATATTTTCAAAAAAAGTTACGTATTAATAGTCATGGTCTGTTCATACACAACTTTACGGTAGAAGCCATTTTAAATAGCATGCGAATTAGGAAGATTACGAAATTGAGCTTTATTACAGCCGAAATAAGGAATAGCGGGAGCCGGGACATCGATTTGGGAACTCTAACGATTCCGTGGTGAAGGGCTCCCGAGGAAGAATCGAATAAAAGACGAAAAAACTTGGAAAACTTTCAAGACATAAACACATTACCGCGAGATTTGTTCGTAAAAATCATCGTGGAATTTTATCGTACGCGGTAAACAATTTTAACGAGAGAGAGACAGAGTAGAAATTCCGCATTATAATTCATCGCATTCCTACATTTCATATTACAAATACAAACCACTACGCCGCTCCTAGCCGCTATCAAACCGCACAATCCATATCGAAAATTGTTTTGTTATACCTTCAAATCGACGACCACTTCTTCTACATCATCTTTATCACTTAAAAAGTCAGAAACACCTCTAAAAGGTGAGCAATTCTGATACTTTTGTCTGTACTGACAATCCATTCAATAAATCAGAGTTGAACATCATAAAAAGTCCAAAAAGGTCATCTTTGACAATCGCACGACGTGAATTACCCCACCGTTATTATTCCTACAGGCTAAGAGTTGTTTGAGGGTCTTAGACTGAGGAGGGGGAAAGCGCGCTTTGATAAACCTGAACGTTTTAACACTGTGATCTTGAAACCGCTCAACCAAGCATGGAAATTATCCATGTAGAGGAGGCCAATAATCCAGCTGCAAACTGCCAAGATAACGATGATGATTTAAAAATGGACATTGAAGTCACACAGCAGGAAGGTGAAGCAGAAAATCGATTAGAAGGTACAACAAATACCACTCATCATAAAAATTATCTCGCTAACTCGTTTCGTTTAACAATAAAACTTTTGGAATCTTTATTTAACATGGGTGCCTATTTAAATACAATATATAAATATAATACGTTCAAGAACAACTCCATGCATTTAGCTAAAGTTTAAATTATTACATAATAAACGATCAATGAGAGTTCTCGGGCCACTAGAGGCGCCAGTGTAGCTCAAGTTGTAACCAATAGAACAATTGTGACAGGATTAAATTAGGACTTTATGTCTCACTAACGCCATCTAGTGAGCGCAAAACCAAAAACCCTCAATGTGTCAGAATCACTCAAGTATATCGCAAGACCAAATCAAGAGTTGTTCTTATAACGAATGCATTTGACTAGTTCGACCAACCATCTATTTATTATTGAGCCGTCAAAAAATCCTAATTGCAATCGTGGAAAAATATACATAAACAGCTAAATGAAATATTTCTATTAAAAAAATGCTAATGTCAAGCAATGTTTCTGTTAAGTCTCGCATCAGCTAGGCAACATTTTGTTCTAATGTCGAAGTCAGCGTGCCACTTTTATTTAGCAACAATGGGCAATATTTTTTTTGTTGCTAGAGGAACATTTATTGATTTGAACGGCTCTTGTTCGTTGCTCTCTACTTAATATTTGTTACGCAACTTTCATGTTACGCGTCAAATGTTGCTTAGTCAATACGAGCCTATGGAACGAAAAAAAAACAGTTTTATTCAAAAACATAATGTACAGCTTTGGCTTTATAGACGTCAACAGCCTTACAATTTACAAATACCGCCTATCGTCTGTCAGTTACGTGCGACGCCAAATCCTCTTTATCTTCTTCAATCCTTATCGCATTGCCCACTCTACTTGATTCATTGAATATTATAGTTTCATTGTTGTCAACAGTTACATAGAAACAACATTAGAATACGACCCACGAATCTAAAAGCCGATCAATGGCCCAATGATATTTTCATGGAAGCATAAATTCAACCAAAAGACAAATTATTATTGGCACAATAACTGACTTTAAAAATATAATCTCACCAACAACATGAGTACAATTCGCTATTGTTATTAAAACTAGGCAATAACAGATTTGAATCGTTTAGATATTGAGCTGTTGAAGTACAAAATTATTGGAATCACTATTACTTATCCGATCAATAGCTAGTAGCCTAGCGCTTGGGAAGTATTCAGATATACACTGTGCCTTGGAAAGCATCGGATACCAGCCAATGTGCCTTTAGGAACAGATTTCAACAAGATTTTACATAGAAGACAGGTTGTCACTATTTTTACAACATTAGACCTATTTAATCTTAACTTTTGTACATGAAACAACGTGGAAGAAGCTAGAAGTCTCAGTACCCAGCTATGTTCAATGAAACACCACAACACAGTGTAGATCCCGAAGCAAATATAACAGCCCCGTAGAAGCTTACTTTTAGAGAGAAAAATATATTACCTAAATTATTTGCCTGTGTACTTAACAATTCTATTGGTGTCAATGTTGAATTGGCGGGAGTCGCCATCTTGTAACAAATGTCAAATGTCAAAATTTGTTTTTTTTTTATCGTGGCGTGATTGGAAGCTTGGAACGAAGGGGCGTTAACGAGTGGAACTTCGTTCGGTAACATCAAGCTATAGCTAAGAGTCGAGCTGCCCTCGTTAACAGTTCTAGGACACGCCGCCAGATGGAGCGGAGCGCGTTCGAGCGTGAAAACAGGAATCTCCATAGGAAGAACACGGTTGCCACTTGGGTTAGGATGTGGACTATGTGTAATCTGGAACCAAACATATTTGTTAGTCAGTCATATTGTAACATCTATGGCAAATCGAATTTTCGACAAAATGGAATTACCTACATTTTCTGATTATAATTATCATATTCTTCGTAGGACTTGTACTTAATCGGCGCTGTTCATTAGAGCAGCTCCAAAGATTACAAGTGCTTGTGACTTTAGAAGACAAATAACTATGGAAGACTTACCTTCGCAATACAGCTCTGGACTTGGGCAGCGTGTCGGGGCTCTCTTTGAAGAGGAACCTCCGAATGCCCAGCACGTACGACTCAATATACGCGTCCCAGTCGATGTTGCGCACGTTAAAATCAAAAGTCCTGAAATTCCCAGAAATAACTTTGTTTTAGAATCTTTCAATCGTGGTAATTCGGTACACAATTGGATAACAATAGATGCGCGAACACCGGCGTTGGCTTGGGGTTTAATGAATTATTAATATTGGCTTGAGTTGTGTTCAGTATTGGATATGAACAGATTTGAAGAAAACTGTATGCAAATTCATATGTGTTAAAAATGAAAATTGAAGGCTTTCGCATTCATTTTATTTAGATCATATAGATCCTTAAAACTTAACAAATATCAGACAGACAAATTGACAAAGGCATGAACCCTTTAATTTCACCTACGTGGTCTCAAACTCTTTCTAATGTTGTGAAATTGCTTTACAAATCTTTACGAGCAGATCGCTACTGAAGACCCTCTGATAGAACGTACCTGCGGTCGTCAGGCGAGAGTGACGCGCATAGTGCCTGCACGTTGTCGTCGGCGAAGGCCCACTGGCGCGTAGTAAAGTACTCGAGGCACGCCGCCGCCTTTTCCAATTTGTTCTGCACACGAACCATCCTGAAAGCATATCAAACCGTTAGGACATTACAAAAATACAACTGACTGATGTAAATGGCAAAGAAAGACAAAGCCTAGAGGGCTGTTTGAGTGTGCAGTGTTTCAATTTCGTGGATCCCTGCTCCTTAGAAACGATGACGTTTTTTAACTGTTATCAACACACTCACAATATTATATCATTTTGCTAGTATAAGTGGGCTACCTTATCCAGCATCCACTTACCATCATGCATCAGGCTGTAAACTCTGTTGCACAGAAACTTACTGCTTCCTTTTGAAAAAAATGTTGCTGAAAAAACCTGTGTCGTGGGTGAGTACAATTTCACATACACATCACACCCAGACCCGGAACAACAACGGCCAAAGAATTGTTCCGTGCCGAAGACAAACCAGCGTTAAGTTGCGTGGTAGGTTATTTCTTCAAACGTCGAAGTTACAAAGTTACCATCCTCCATTTTATTTCTATCCTTTAGGCATGCCAATGTCATAGGTAAATGTTTTGCATTAGCATATCATTCGTAGTGATATACTTAAAGATCGACTTACATAGGTTTCTTGCCGGTAGCTGTGGAGACGAGGTCCATGATGGCGGCGGGCGCGCGATGCTGCAGCAGCGACAGTGTTCCGTGCTTCAGCCTATTACTGGTGATATCTCCTCCGGGGTACCATAGCACCTCGTCTGGAATATGGAGGATTATTGTTACATATAGTTTTAGATTATATATGTATAGGAACGAACACGCGACACTTTGCGCGGCAGCCAGTTGCCCAGCCACCGCGCCGTGCAATCAATGTAATGTGTAATTATTAAAATGTATGTAAAACTCACTAAACGGATGTTTCCGCATATATTTGAAGCTGGTTTTGACGAAACGCTGCCACGTGATAGGGTTTTGCTGGCCAGTACAACAGTTGTACACCACTACTCCCTCACCTCTGCAAATGTAAAACAGACAAACTTTTGAATCAACCTTTCATCTGCTATTTTAGACACAATAAGTAACACACTGCGTCTTACTTAAACCTACGTCCTTACATGGGGTTCAAATGGCAATGTTAATCCTCTATCACATACATTGAAATCGCATTATAACAAGCTGTTGTCGACCACTTGGTACCCGGCGTCACGTTTGACCATTTTGATAGAAACAATAAATGTCCATTCAGGAATTGTACCAACAATCTTATCCATGGCACACCCATGGACACTTGATAAATAATAAGGTAATCGAAAGAAAAATAATGGCTAGTAAGATCTATCTCTTGTCTAAACCCAATCAAATTTTAGCGTTTTTATTCTCGACACTGACTGGACGAATAAAACCTAACTTTAATTTAACGCCATCTAGGGAGCCCAAAAAAGCATTATAAGATTATAACAATAGACGAACCAAAATCCGACTTTACTTTAACGCCATCTAGGGGCACAAAAAGGCATTAAACATTTTTAAAATAAAAACAAATTCAATGACTTACCGTCTCAAATGCGTCCTCCACGCGCAAACAATCATTAGATTGATGACGGTGTCGACAGGCACCAGGTCAGCGACCTTCGTGCCTGTGCCAAGCATCGTACGGAATATCCCCTTGCCCACAGCCGCTATGATACCGTTGGGTCCGTTCCAATTGTCTACCCAACCTTTTACCGGCTCTCGGAGAGATGAGAGCACTGGAAAAAGAAAGAAAGATTAGGTAAAGTTTTTATAATACTGTGTTTCCAAAAACGACAGCAGCGCCACTTTTGATAGATTTGTTTTTCTCCAAAGAAAGACATCTGGAGAGCGCCATTTTAAGGCTGCAACTTACGTCGACGACGATGAAATTATAGGTATAAAAAAAAGCAACCTTTCTATATTATATATTTATTTATTGTACAGGTAAAAGATCTGAAAACATTCAACTACTTTTACAAAAAAACATTTAAGAAAACTTTTCATTTATCCATTTTCTATGTTCAAAAAAGCTCACTTTTAAATTCGATAATTCATTTTGAAAGTGTTTATTTAAAAAATTCGGTTGTCAGGGGCCCCGTTCTAGGCAAAAAAGTGAGTAATGGTATTATTAAATTGCAGGCAAAAACCTACTCATTTATTAATCTAAATCTAGGGTGCTCAATTGGCGCCGTGACAACCATCCACGACTCGTTGTTTCAATTCTGAGTATAATGTGTATGTAAAATTATTTTTATACCCGAACCCACCAAAGAGGTAAAAATCATAGCGTAGGGCAACGTTAATTAAATATTATGTGAAGAGAAAAGATACGGCACAAATATGGTCGAATCGACCGTGTGGTTGTTGTGGTTGTTTCCCCACTCGGCAACTGGCGTGAAACAACCACAGCGTTGTGTATTGCCGTCTCAGTGAGGTTACCGGAGTCCTAAATTTTTCTTATCCTCCCCCTACCTATCCCTCCTCAATCTCTAAATCTCTCTAAGCCTAATCCCCAAAACATCGGTCACGCACTCGTAACTCCTCCGTTGTTCGAGTTTCCTTCGGCGGCGCCGATTGGTTACCATCAGGTAATCCGTCTACTCGTTTGCCGACCAAATGCGTCACATAAAAATAGGTAAGAATATAAACATAATTAATTACATAATGTAACCTAAATCGCGAAAAATATTTAGGTAGACTCACGCCTACTCGATCCATCATAGATAAGCAGATCCTATCAACATTTGCAGTATGATAATACGCATTCTTAACACACATTTTCAATTATTTTTGCTAAGCATGTGATAACTATTCTTGGGTTTAGTACATGAAGCAATTAGTATAACTTTCTTTTTCTTTTTTGCATGCCAAAAAGTAGTAGGTAGCCCTTAAACACACATTCTAGTGACAAAATGTTTATATACATATTTTTATCCGTTCTAACGGCAGGCACTGAAGTTTCGACGTTTCAATACAATTAAATATTGAAAAATAACTATACTTTTGTTCATACATCTGTCAATACACCAATATTTCGATATCTTTTAATAATTTTTAAGAAATAAATAAGCTATTTGACGCAATAATACTATGGCGTCATAATTTGGAGTTTTATACAAATCTATATTCTTATATATAAAAATGGATCGCAAAATGTGTTGGTAAGCGCATAACTCAACAACGCCTGGACCAATTTTGCTAATTCTTTTTTTGTAGTGTTTGTTTTTGCCAGGAGAAGGTTCTTATCAAGGAACATATTAGAAAAGAAGAGGGGAAGATTAGGAAAAAGTGACCCTTTGATAGCGAGATAGTTAGACCCGTGCGAAGCGGGGGCGGGCCGCTATTATGTATATAAAAATGAAGCACAAAATGTGTTGGTAAGCGCATAACTCAACAACGCCTGGCCCAATTTTGCCAATTCTTTATAGTCACGAGAAGGTTCTTATGTAAAAAAAAATTAGAAAAGTTGAGGGGCGAGCTGGAAAATGGTGACCCTTTCGTCATTAGCGAGAAAGTTATAGACCCCTACAAAGCAGGGGCGGGTAGCTAGTTTCAAATAAAAGTATCATTTTTGACATTTGAATAAAAGTATTGAATTTGACTAGTTATTGGAATCTACTGTATTGTCCGAAGGATAATAATGTATAATTTGCTATTATTTCGTTTAGCCTTCAAATTAGGCCTTTTGGACCATCCACGAAGCCAGCCGTGCATTTTATATTTAATTATTATCAATAATATTGATAACAATTACCGAACGCGTCTGCAGATTACAATAAAATTCTATTTTTATCATACGTAGCTAGGTATATTACGTATGTCTGCGGACAGCGATTATGGGTAGCTCGCCGGCCGACCAGAACCAGACCCGAGCGTTCGGCGGGTAGCGTTCCGCGCGTGCCTCAAAGAGCCAATGGACTAACAGACGGGGCCCTACCGAGGGCTGATGTTCAGCCGGAGTTGCGGGTTAAGCGCAATGAGGCACCGCGGCCTCGGCCCAGAGCAGGAGAAAGAACGGGGGGTTTTAGTCAGTAAGAGTCTAACACTCTATCTCGCCTAACCCGGCGGGAGAAGTCATTAGATAATTTTCCCCTCACAAGAAAAGGATAAATTTATTATTGATCGTAAATCCGTAAATCAAATAGTTGGTATACACCAGAAAAGATAAATCGGATCTCCTTTTCGACAAGGAACTGGGTGCGTTTTATTCAGTAAGAATCTGAAACTCCATTCCGCCCCACCCAACGCGGGAGAAGTCATTGAATAATATTGCCTACTCAAAAAAGTCTCTATCTTACGATAAAAACAAAAGATCAAAGTCTAAATAATAAAATAATCACTTAAATAACCAATTTGCTGTAAGCCTATATTTACGTAAAACAAAACATTATCAATTCCCCGGTAAGTACATACATATTAGCTGTGCGATAATTTTCAAACCGAAAAACATCGTGATTCAATATTTAAAAAAAAAGATTACCGAATCATAAAAGTTTATCGATAATCGACAAATTTTTATGCGACCCAATTTATAAAGAAATTGTAATTATAAATTACAATTATCATGCATAGTTTCATTTTTCTTTTATTGTTGCATAGTTGTTACATATGGAGGAATTTACATCCTTAAAAACTGGACATCTACACTACCTGAGCTGCTGTTTACATGTGAACATTAGCTCATGACGATACCTAAATACGTGTGTCGCCTGGACAGTCAACCTCGCTACATCCTTGTTGACTGGACATCTACACTACATGAGCTGCTGTTTACATGTGAACATTAGCTCTAGCTCATGACGATACCTAAATACGTGTGTCGCCTGGACAGTCAACCTCGCTACATCCTTGTTGACTGGACATCTACACTACATGAGCTGCTGTTTACATGTGGACATTCATGACGATACCTAAGTACGTGTGTCGCCTGGACAGTCAACCTCGCTACATCCTTGTTGACTGGACATCTACACTACATGAGCTGCTGTTTACATGTGAACATTAGCTCATGACGATACCTAAGTACGTGTGTCGCCTGGACAGTCAACCTCGCTACATCCTTGTTGACTGGACATCTACACTACATGAGCTGCTGGTCTATTAGGAAAAGTATATTGTTCTCACCGATAGAAGGTCGTACGATGGACACTGGCAGGTTCCCACTTTCCTTTATAAGCATGTCTTCTGCTAAAGCCTTTGTGAATGTGTATGTGTTAGGCCGATCACCTGGAATGAAAGAGAAATCATTGTTTAAAATGAGAATGGAATTTGACTAGCCCATAGCATAATCATTTATGGCTACTTCTTCCCTCGGGTGCTTGTCAGATTCTAAAAGATTCCCTGAATAATCTGAACCATATAGATTGCGAATTCCAACGTCAATGGTCCTGCAGTGGGCTGCAAAGGGCTGTTCAAAGCGTCCTGTTTCGAGAGATGATTTCCGGCCACCGTAAGCGCGGGTCTGCGGACGGCGAGTTGGGGTAGCTCATCGTCCAACCAGAACCAGACCCAAGCGTTCGTATCCTACAGGGCTGCCGTTCAGCCAGGGTTGCGGAGCAAGTGCAACCAGGCACCACAGATAGAGCAGAAGGAACAGTGGGGTATTTAGTCAGTAAGAGTCTGACACTCCCTCACGCCCCACTCTTGGCGGGAGAATTCACGATTTTCCTCTCCCAAAAAGCCTTCTGTTTGGCAATAGTGATGAATTTAATGGCAATCTTGACAGTCTTCTTAGCCCAGCTTTATTCTACCAACTAGTAATGCTCATCCAACAGGAGCAGATCTCACAAACTCACCAACTAAATCCGGTGTGATTCTATCGACGAGGTCGTCAGGCAGAGTCTGTACCAGCGTGACCACGTGCTCGGGGTGGGCTGGCGGCGCGTAGACCGTCTCCTCAACTCGTTCGCGTTCACAATTGCAGTATGCCGTCGATACGTGGACCAGGGCCTGGAAATTAAGGCCAAATATTTATTAGATCCTTTCAAACAGAAGATAGTAGAAGAAACGCATGGATTTTTTGGATAAGAAATATTCTGACTAGCAGATACTCTTATGGTAATTGATCAGCGTGAAATGTCATTGGGTCCCGAATGTTAGGGTTAGCGCTTCTCAAAACTGGTAAATAGGAATGAGACTTATTCCGAGTAATGTACTTTCTATGATTATTTAGACACCACTGACAAACGGTGAATGAAAACATCAAGAAGAAACCTATGTGTTGTAAATCACCAATCTGCCTTAAGCGTGGTGAATACTTTTGTTTTTGACACGTCACACCCAGACATGGAACATCTCACACATAGAGTTCTTCCATGCGAGAATCTTACCCTCTGCACGCAGCGCGGCAGCCAGTTGCCCAGCCACCGCGCCAACCGTGCAGTCACACTGATTCCTTCTCCATCTGAGAAGAGGCCTTTGCTGACAGTGGGCACTTATAGCCTGATGTTAATGATGGACTGTCGAACAGTAAATAAAGCACTCACCTCAAGGTTAAGCATGCGATGACAAAGCTGGACCAGCTGTTGCGTGCCCAGCATATTGATGGTGACGGACAACTTTAGTTTCTCATCGAACTTTACAGTCGCAGCCGAGTGGAACACCACGGATACCTGATGACGAAAACAATGAGGAACTATAAGAACAACTAGAAATTGTGATAGAAGAAGAGGATAATTCCCAGAATAATCATAAGAGCGGTCTAAAGGACACAGCGCATAGAGAGTACGAGGTCTTTTATAAACCTGAACCTTTCAAAGATTATACAAAACTCTTAAACTTATTAAGAGGATAGAGTCGAGTACGGCCTCACAGAAAACCAGCGTAAAACAACTATAGCGATGTGTTTCGCCGTTTAAGTGAAGGTACCAGAGGCCCAATCCCAAAATCTCCCAAACAATGATCCCTAAAAGGTCGCCAACGCACTTCTACCTCTTCAATTATTGCGGGTGTCCGAGGGATTTTTTTTTTGTGTGGGGAAAATCATCAAATGACTTCTCCCGCCCAGGGCCGGGCAGGAGGGAGTGTCAGACTCTTACTAACTAAAAACCCCCCTGTTCCTTCTCCTGCTCTGTGCCGAGGCCGCGGTACCTTATTACGCTTACCCCGCAACCCCGGCTGAACATCAGCCCTTTAGGGCCCCGTCTTTGGTGGTCGAATGGCTCTTTGAGGCGCGCGCGGAACGCTACGCGCCATACGCTCGGGCCTGGTTCTGGTCGGGCGGCGAGCTGCCCTTACTCGCCGACCGCAGGCCCGTGCTTACGGTGGCCGGAGATCGTCCCTCGATCCCCGACGCCCGTAGTGTGGTGTCCGAGGGTGGTGCTGATTGCTTACCATCGGGTAATCTATCAGGTCGTTTGGCGTCCTAACATATATCAAAAAAGGAGCTCCACCATAGTTCAAACCTGTGGACTGTTACTGGCTATAAATATTAATTATTGTTAACTTTTTTGGAGACATTCTCCTGGACACATTTTTATTGTTCAGAGGAATCCTAAGCATGTGTATCAATTACATAATGGTCATCATTTTCAACTGCGTATGTCTCATTAAGATCTAATTGGCGTAATTGGTGTGGGCTCCAATTGTAACGTCACCTACGACCTAGGTAAATCTGCAAATTGAACCCACACCCGTGTTGGAATCCCAACTTGCGCGTAGGAGTCATCTAGCTGGTGCGTTGCGTCACCAGCCTTATCATTTTTTTTTTGATCTGATATTGACAGGGATCAGCAGCGCTCTCTAATAAACTTGCTTGTTTCTTTTTAATGGCCGCACACTAGTTTTTTCTCCTGTATCGTGGATACGTTTGCAAACATAGAACTTCATATACACATCACGCCCAGACTCGAAACAACAGTTTGTGGAGCTCGCAAAGAGCTGTTCCGTGTAGGAATCGGTCGTCTGACCGCTGCATCAACCGTCAGTTAAAACTGCACCTTCAAACTGTGACACCGAGCGCATTAGTGTGAATTGAATCGCCTATTTCATCTATCCTATAGTATATCACCTGGTGGTAAATGACCAGCTCATGGACAATCACAACACCAGAGTAGTGCAAGAGCAAATATGTTACCGGTATTTTAAAAATGACTTCGCTATCCAGATGGTAGGCAATCGAAACCGTTCATGGATCAACACTACAGGAGTTAAGATACGAGTGCGTTGCCAGCTTTAAGTGGAGATTTAGGGATTAGAAGAGGGGGAAAACGGTAGATTGGCCTCCAATATCCTTACCCACACGGCGAACCACAACGCTGTGGTTGTTTTCCGCCTGTTTTCTATGTATCACTCCGGTCGAGCCCACCCATTCGTGCCGAAGCATGGTTTTTTTTTTATTTTATTTTTTAAAAACGTTGCCCCACATTATGATTTTCTCCTGTGTCGTGGGTGCGGTTACAAACATATAATTTCACATACAAATGACACCCAGACCCGGAACAACAATTTGTGGATCACACAATGAGTTGTTCCGTGCGGGAATCGAACCCGCGACACGTTGCACGGCAGCCAGTTCTCCAGCCACCGCACCAACCGTGCAGTCGGTTCTCCCACACTTCAGTATAAAAATACCATAGTTTTGTAGTTCTAATAATGTATTCTTACCTTCTGACAAAGCATGGTTTGGTCTGCAGCACTGATGCCTAATTCCGGCTCGGTAATGTCGCCGACTATAGGGACTATCTTGTTCAACTCTTGGGGCCGCTCTCTCCGTAGGGTCTCGAACAACTATTGACAACAATGGGTGTATATTAGTTAGGATATGATTCAAAACACTGGATAGAGGAGGAGTTGAATTATTTTTATTTTCCAGGATCCGTCGAGAGGACCAAATCAAAATATTAGAGATTTTTGTTTTTCATTTCTTAGAAATTGTATTGGTTGATTTGACATATTTTGCGAACGTCACGATTAATTTATTACATGTTATATTAAGCGGTGACTCATACTTTTTTTTGGTGAGGGATAGATTTGAGGATTATCATGAAATGACTTCTCCCGCCCAGGGTAGCCCTGCCCTGAAAGAGTTTCATACTCTTACTGACTAAAAACCCCCGTTCTATTGCTCTGGGCCGAGGTCGCGGTGCCTTATTGCGCTTGCCCCGCAACCCCGGCACATACACACACTGAACATCAGCCCTATAGGGCCCCGTCTGTGGTGGTTTATTGGCTCTTTGAGGCGCGCGCAGGACGCGTACTTAAATTCGTGTTTTTTCTATGTAGGTATATTTTTTAATACTTTCTTATTATAATTATCTCGATAATATCAAAATGTGATTAGAAGTTTTTGCATTGCGTTATCAGTATAGGCTAGTTATGGATATTTGCTGCGTTACAAAAGGATAGTTTTATATAAGATCGCACGCATACTTACTTGTGTCTCTTGATTTTTCAAGAAAACAAAAGAACATTAAGTTTGATTGTAAAACTTCTCAAGTACCTTTATCTGACCATCATTAACAAATGAAGAATTGGTAAAAATGACCAAGGCGTTATTGAATAATAAGGTTTAAAAAGTGCAAGATGCACTCTTTTCATTCTAACAATGAAACAATGAAACAATGAATTTATGAAACAATGAATTTATTTTTGCAAATAGGCCATAAAACGGCACTTTTACACGTCAAATTATATGTGAAAAACTAGACGAAGCCGGCATTTCCTATCTGACTACTCTGAGAAGAAATGCCGAAACAAACTCAGAGGTCAGTCTCTTTTCAAGTCGATTTTATCAAATACATAGAATTCGATTTTAATTTGTTAATAAATAAAATTATAAATGTCAAACGTTTTAATCATAACCAGAAAAAGCATCAGACAATTTAAAAAGTCAAGAATGGAATCAAATTACTTTCTATCTCTACTTTAAATTTTCGCATTTGGTTTTTTGCTTATCGGCCATCACAATCAGACTCCAAACAACAACTTGTAAATATCATAAACAGTTGTTCTGTGCGGGAATCGGTTGTCCGGCCACTGCATCAACCAAGAAAGCCTTACTCTTTGAAACTACGCAACGGATATTGATACGTTTTTTTAATAGATAGAAGTGATTGAAGAGGAAGGTTTATAGCATAATAACATCCATTTAATTGTAAAGAATTTTAGTTTTATCATTGCACTCAGGCGAAGCCGGGACGGGCTGCTAGTTAAATTATAATTAGTGTCCTGTTAGACACATTATTATTGGGACCGAGGCAAGGTCCGAAAATGGACTAGCTCATTTTTTTATTTTTTTCTGGAGATAGGTAATGCTTCTTATGCACGCCAAACGATAAAAAGTAAAATATATTAAACACAATCACAACATAGATACGTCTAAAGAGCTACACATAGAATGACTCCTCCGGACCTGAGAGGGAGTGTCAGACTCTTACTGACTAAAAACCATCTCTTTCCAATTTCTGTTCCATAGCCGCAGTTATGTCATTGACACTGACACATTGACCTGCAACCCTGGTTGGACATCAGCCTTAGTAGGCCTCGTCGGTCGGATGGCTGTTTGATGATGTCTGGTCTGTGTGGAGTGCGATATAGATGGTTGGGTAGTGATATAGGATATTGTTGGCTTTGATCATGAGGAAGATGTCACGTCCGAAGAGCTAATAGATAAATAAACAAAATACAATAAATATTTATAATTATTAATGGCTTAAAACTTAAGTGCTTCTAATATATAATGGTAGCAAGTTTAGTGTTAATTAGTAATTCGTTTATTGTAAGGCAAATTAATTACCTATTTATTTAGCTTAAGAGGTTTTCCTTAATTTGTAGATAAGTCATCCGTTTTTCTTTTTCATTACCCATTACCAACCGACATCAATTATTGGTTTCTCATTAGTAAAGTTTTGATTGAATCTGTGTCGGCTGTAATTTTATAATCTTTAAATTCAGTTTTTGCTACAATAATATCGTTGTTATCAACTGAAGTTCTTCCGTAACACACATTTTAAAAACGGCCATCTTTAAAGGAGGTTTTCATAAACTGGTGATAGCAGAGTCAAATACAACTGATCACTATTCCTGGGTGATTCTTCACATCAATTTAACAAAAAATAATGATGTATCCTCATCCGAAAATAAACGAGTCTGCTGATTATTATTTTATTAAATTAAATCTCACCACTGCTAAAAGCAATCGATTAACAACCTGGGATGACTTGTTAAATAAAAGTTAAGGTTTTTCGGAGAATCACCCTCCTGCTCTTCCCGCGTGTAATGTAAGAGGCGCTTTTTTTGAAGGTCTAAAATCAGCAGACTTCTTTAGCACTGTGTGAAGCGAGAGAGAACCACCCTGTTCTTTCTCCTGCTCCGGGCTAGAGTGGTATATAATTGGGCTTACAACATCGGCTGGAGCCGACTAAGCTACGTATTATACAGATAACACAGCAAGGCTCTCTAAATAAGATCAAAACCTGAACCATTTTTTTCACTGCGATTTTCGACCCGCTTGCTAAGTGTGGCGATTACAGCAAACCTGTCTTTAAAAGAAGACTGAAGCTATTGTTAATGAATGTTAACTAAATAATTTGATTTTTTTCATTCACCAAACCCCAAACGAACGCCGGTGTTCGTACATAAACTGTTCTTCTATTATATCTCGAATTACCTAGGTTAAAAGGTTAAGGCAGGGGTCCGAATGAATAGCACAGAGTTGAACTGAATGAGGAATATAGAACGAATGAATGAACTAAAGATACAGACCGGTGACTGTGTTAGCTCGGTGAGACGAGACGCGACATCCTGGCCTCTCTTCGGCCGCATCAGAAGGTAGATCTTCTTAATTTTTGGACAACTTCTTAACAATTTCTCGACCAATACCTGTGGAGGAAAAACACAACAAGTTTAGTTACCATTTTTTTATATAATACTAGCTACTCTCGCGCGGTTTCACCCGCTCACCACTGCTCGGCCCCATTTAATCTTAGCGTGATGTTTTATAGCCTATAGCACTCAGGAACATAGTAGCTATCTATCAGTGAAAAAGTTTTGGCAATCCTACAAGCGGTTCCAAAGATTACCCCCTACATACAAACTTACAAATTTTACCTCTTTGTAATATTAGTATAGATTGAACGTAGCTACGGGACTCTTCACTAGGATTTTATACAATAGAAAAATAGAATGAGGGTGCATTGACAAACTCATAATTATTGCTGACCAAGAAGTCTAAAGTTTTTACGCAAAGAAATTTTTAAGTTTCATCATCATCAGCCTGTTTCGGTCCACTGATTATAAGATAAGCCTCCCCAATTGCACGTCACTGAGCTCCATGTTCAGCTCTTATCATCCAACCACTACCAGCAACACTGCGGATATCGTCAGTTAATCTAGCTGGAGGGCGCCCTACACTATGTTTGGCTAGACGTGGTCTCAGAACATGCCTACCCCTTCTGAGATTGTTTCGGCATTTCTTCTCAGAATAGTCAGACAGGAAATGGCGGCGGTGTAAAAGTGCTGTTTTATGGTCTATTTAGGTACAAAAATTCATTGTTTCATTGTTCATGGGTCCTTCCACAAATGTGACCTGCTCATTGCCACTTCAGTTTGCTAAATCCTTTTGACTATATAGACAACTATGGAGTTTATCGGTTTATTTTTTTTAATTTTCGAAAATTTATGACGTAAGACTTGTACTTTCTACTATAATGGGACTGATAGAATACCTATTTTAGTAATAGCAAAATTGAAATATGATGCATTTTAATTTAAAAAATTTGAGAAGCATTACAGAGAGAGAGAGAGAAAAAAAGAGAGAGAGATAGATAGATAGAGAGAGAGACAGAGAGAGACCTTGGAATGGAATTCAAACCAAAAGTGTTTAAAACTCCATTCTTTTAAACTACAAAATCAAATGGAGAAAAATCCCCGATAAACAAAAAAGCCTAAAGATTATATAATAAATTACATCATTAATGATTAAAAATTGTTATCAGAAACGAAACAATTTGATAAAATTGGTTATCTCTGCAAGTTTTAACGATTTAATTTTTATTATCACCCAAGTACAAGGCCGTTGTAATCTAGACGAGGAGTTCAGGAAACAGGATACGTGCTATTTTATTTTTTTAATCTTTTAACCTAACGCTTTTTTTATGTAATAGGTCGGCAAACGAGCTGACGTATTACCTGATGGTAAGCAATCAGCGCCGCCCATGGACACCCGCAACGGAGGAATTACGAGTGCGTTGCCGACCTTTTAGGGATTAGGGATTTGGATCTTGGGACTGGGGAGGGGGAAGGATTGGGCCTCCGGTAACCTCACTCACACGGGGGATCACAACGCTTTGGTTGTTTCACGCCGGTTTTCTGTGAGGCCGTGGTATCGTTCCGGTCGAGCCGACCCATTCGTGCCGAAGCTCCCACGCTTGGTATATTCGTGTGACGAGCTTGCTTAGGCACCAGTTTCTTATCTAACAAACACAGCGAAAGCCTTGTTTCGCGCCGGTTTTTCTATGAAGCTTCACTGCCTTCGAGCCGGCCCATTCGTATTAAATCATAGCTATATTTCAATATAGTTCCTTTTTCAGACTTCTTTTGAATTACTTAATTACTATATTGAGTCTTCGTAGCAGACCGGAGGTTAAGGCATCCGATTCTTTTGTAGGTTCATAACTTGGCAAGAACCAATGTGACTTTTTTCAAGTTATAATATGTAGTTTCTAAGATAAGGTACACATGCCACGCAGGCGTAAACTATTTAAATTATAATTTTGAAATTGCCAATCAGCCTTAAGCAGTCATAGTGGTAGTAGTTCCCAGCAGTGGACAATTGTTGGCTGACGATGATAACGTGAGATTAACAAGGCCTGCTTGACCGGGAGTGATATCATCGTACACAATGCTTACATTGTGTTCTTCTGTAAATGATGTTATCGCAGAGGAGGGATGGGAAGGAATTTAGGAGGAGGCCTCCGCCCAAATTCCTGAATCTAGAAATCCCTAAACAATATTCGTGCTATTTCAATTTCTATGAAATTCACGGAACCTCTCTTTGTGTGATCCACAAATTGTTCCGGATCTGGGTGTGATGTGTATGTGAAATTGTGTGTGGGGCAACGTTTATTATTAAAAACAAAAAAAAATATGGGCACCCATTTACAGGCGATTGCTCAGGTGACCCGTATTTTCGCTCGGTGCTCTTTTTAACCACCGACGCAAAAAGAGGGGTGTTATAAGTTTGACGTGTCTGTCTGTCTGTCTGTCTGTGGCATCATAGCTCCTGAACGAATGTACCGATTTAAATTTTTTTTTGTATTACAGGTGTTTTACGAGCGAGTGTTCTTAGACATGTTCGATCAAAATTAATTTACCCTTTTAAAAGTTACGGGGGGTTAAAGTGGGGAAGAAAAACCGAATGCAAATATGCTCAAGTCAAATGAAAGGTTATGACTTGTACATCACAAAAAACAAAAACTTTAATAAGTTTGACGTATTTGTCTGTGTGTCTGTGGCATCATAATTCCTGAACGAGTGAAACGATTTCAATTAAGTTTTTTTTTGGATTATATACTTTTAAAGGTAGCTTATGGTTTTTGTCTCAGTTTTTTTTTTAATTTTAAATTTATATGTATCTTGTTAAGTGAAAATTAATTCCTTACCTTCCCCATGAACCCGGTGCCGCCAGTAACAAAAACCGACTTGTCTGCATAAAACTCAGCGACGGGTACATACTCCTTGCTCCCAGGAACATAATGGCCACCGGACAAACAGGATGCCATTCTGGTAATCTTTCCTTTCACAATTTTAACGCTTTAATATTTGCTTGATACATCAAAACTTGTCTAGCCCCCTCTTAATTAACATGTACAGGTTTTTATTAATCGCCAAGTTGTATTCCGGTGCTTATCAACAGGTCGTTACTTGTATCAACATGGTTGCTTGTTTACACCTGAAATGAAGAAAAAAAAATAGGTTAGAAATTGCTAAGTAAAAAAAGTAAAAAACACAAAATTTTATTCAACTTTAAGACGAAGAATTTTATTGGTTTGGAGCAGGAAAAGGAACGGGGTGATTCTTAGGTAAAAAATATTATGAAGAAGTAAAATTTGTAAGTTTGAATGTAGGGGGTAATCTTTGCAACAGCTGGTTAGAATGCCAAAACTCTTTGACTGATAGATAGCTACAATGTTCCTGAGTGCTATAGGCTATAAAACATCACCCTACGATCAAAAAGAGCAGCTGGTGAAATCGCGCTAGAATATTTAGTAAATATTATTAAGAGGTAAAATTTGTAAGTTTTAGTTAACCAGGTACTTTCCAAAATTCTTTCATTGATAGGTAACTACAATGTTTGATAACTACGACGCGGCGACTGTCCCGCTGCTACGCATACGCGGAGTATCAGTGCGACAAACGCCGCGTCGCGTGTCGCGGAATGCTGCTCATGAATATGAGCTTCTAGCATGGCTTGAAACTAGTCGAGTATCTCGTCAAATTATTATGTGAGTAAGCCGAAAACATAATTATTATTTTTAGTATGTCTCACGAAAATTATAATAAAGACTACAATGTTCCTGAGTGCTATAGCAAGTGAAACCACGCGAGATTACAGACGGGGTCCAATAGGGCTGATGTTCAGCCGGAGTTGCGGGGTAAGCGCAACGGGCGCAAAGGGGGGTTTTTGGTCAGTAAGCTTTTTTGTCTTTGTTTTCTATTGTCATTTTCTTCTTTTTTTGTATTTTTGTTTTATATGTTTGCGCTTGCGCGAAAATAAACGCTTTTCTTTCTTTCTTCTTCAAGAGACTGACACTCCCTCCCGCCCGGCCTTGGGCGGGAGAATTCATTAGATGATTTCCCCTCACAAAAAAAAAAAAAACGCGAGAATAGCTACTAGTTCACCAGAGGAAAGAGAAATCATTGATTTGACGATTTTTTCCACCCTTACAAAGTTTTTTTTTTTTTTTAATCTTTATTTTTTTAGGGACTTGTGGTTATGACACTAACCATGTCAGCCCCATCGTATCTCGTAAATAACATTATTAAACACACATTGTGCTAAAAAGAATAGAATAAAAAAAAATAATTAAACTATTTCTAATACTAATTCTTATTGATTGAGACACCTCCTGACAAACTTATAAATCTTATAAGCTCCTTCACTGGAAGGGCTGGATAATGCAAAGTTACCTTACAAAGTTAGTAAAAGCAACAATCCCAAGGCTGCGAATTCTCGACATATTATAACTAAATGTGCGACATTGTATTTATGGTATTCCACGTTGGCCACAAGCATGCGTTACTCTAATTAAGTAATTAGGTATGTAAGAACAATTTTGTTAGCAGTTAGCAATTAACATTATTAATAAAATTTTTCATACTTCGTTGACATTGTATGGGGTTAAACGCAACTTTTTTGTTTTCAATTATTAGAGAGTATTTTTTGTCAATTAATTTATTTTATTTTTTAAGTAAGTAAGTTATTGGTACCACGTCATATTAACTTTTATTGCTACAATCTTTTTTATTTTTTATTAAGAACCGCCCGTGGAACCGCCTGCGTGAATGTCGATTTTACATTTTCATGTTTTTTTTGTAAATTTTCTCTACATACAAACCTTCTCTGGACTTCCACGAATAATTCAAGACCAAAATTAGCCAATTTCTAAATGTAAGTTTGAAATCGCCAATCCAAATTAAGGATGCGTGGTGATTAATACTCAAACTTTCTCCGTCTTATACTTATAGGCTGATGATTATATTGTCTATACTAATATTATAAAGAGGTAAAATTTGTAAGTTTGTATGTAGGGGGTAATCTTTGGAACCGCTGGTCGGATTGCCAAAATTCTTTCACTGATAGATAGCAACAATGTTCCTGAGTGCTATAGGCTATAAAACATCACGCTACGATCAAATGGAGCCGAGCAGCGAGTGAAACTGGAGTAGCTAGTATTAGTAGAACAAAAGTCATAGTAAAACCTAGTGTTAAGAAAACACTAAATTAGGAAGTCTTAAAAAACTTGACCTCCTAATGTATATTTGTAGCGATTAGGTATTAAAAAACTCGATATGTTTATTTATAAAATCCTTGCTAACTAAAGGCCAATTTATTTAGCAAAACTATAAATATAATATTGACGTTATTTATGGAATAGGAGGCAAAAGAGCAGACGGATCACCTGATGGTAAGTGATCAGCGCCGCCCATGGCCACCCGCAGCACCAGAGGAGTCACAGGCGCGTTGCCGGCCTTTTCACAAGGAGTACGCTCGTGTCTTGAAGGTTTGAAGGTGGTATAGGTCGGATATACCGCAGAAAGATCATTCGAAAGTTTTGATATCGAAAACCATCTTCATAATATGAACGGTGTTTAAAACGTGATAAAACGTCAAACAAAATGACTTCTGCCGGCGTTGGGCGGGAGGAGTCATTTGATTATTTTCCCTCACACAAAAAAGAGGTGTGTGTATACAGAGTGTAAGGGACAGCTGAATCCACCCTATCAGTTTGCGGAAGGCTGTCCCTTACACCCTGTATAGTGTAAAACCGACTTTTTATAAGTTATAGTATGAATCGTATACAGAAAGGATAGCTCACTTTCGATCAGATCAGATCGCGTCGCATTTCGCGTGGGTCCTTAGAGTCCTCGTACCACTACATATGGGGCCCATTACGGCCTGGTCCAGTCGCACTTTGAACCTGCAATTCCGACTGAACGTCAGCCCTATTAGACCCCATCTGTAGTCATACACAGACACTACTTATTTAAAAAAGAAGACTACTGTATAATACTTAGATACATACAATATAAATAACCCAATAAACGCCGATATATAATAAAAATCTATTCTTATCAGTCTGTTTGTCCTCGCAAAATGTCAAGGCACATACAAGTTTCTAGTAAGACACAGGATAATACTAGGTCACATTAATATTCATTTAAGCGACTGCCAAATATGCAATTACATAATTTTTATAATACCCAGAATCTCTTCCGACTTCATAGAATATTTATAAAGGACAAATGCATTTATGAATTTATTGATTACCTATCGCCTAAGTCGAACTAATAAATTATTATTTTTTAACTAGGTACTTACGTATTCAGTATTTGGTTATTTGCAATTGGGTAGTTTCCTAGGTCAAAAATAAATTAATTCGATGTTTCAATACTATAAAATATTGAAAAATAACTATACTTTTATTCATCGATCGATCGATAGACCAAGTTTTAGATTTTTTTTAGCTAATTATTGTGAAATAAGTAAGCTATTTGACGCAAAAATGTTATGACGTCATAACCCAGTTTATTATACAAATTTCATAGAAAAGTATCGTTTTTGACGTTTGGATAAAAGTATTGAATTTGACTAGTTGGAAACTAATTCATAGTTTGAAAATTCAAACTCGAATATCAATTTTATAACAATGTCAAAAGAGGTCCTTTTTGAAAGCCAATGATCATCATTATAGGTTTATTCTTAGTCCAAGAAGAAGAAGTCATATCCAAAGAGCAACCTTTCAATTCCATTATCACACCAGCTTACGGTTCTGTAATATTGTATGGTCATCAAATCGACATATCCATACTAATATTATTAAAACTTAAGAGTTTGCTTTAACACGCTAATCTTAGAAACAGCTGGTTCGAATTGAAAAAATCATTTTGTTATTAACAGACCATTTATTGAGGAAAGCATTTAGGCTATAAAACGTCACGCTACGATCTGTAGGAGCCGAGCAGCGGGTGAAACCGCGCGAGAGTGGCTAGTTACAAATAAAAGTGTTATTCAGATTGTTATATTGGGCAAGCGGTAATAAGGTAGAACAACCTCAGGCCAAAGCAGAAGAAGAAAAGGGGGTTTTAGTCAGTAAGAGTCTGACACTCTCTCTCGATGATAATGAATATCCCTTCCCTCACGAGGTTTTCCCTTACCGTATGTCAGTGGCGTCAAAATAAACTTGAGAAAGTACTTGGAAAAAGTCACATTGGTACTTGCTAGGTTTCGGTACCCCTATCTTCAAGCATGAGCCGCCACCTCCGGGCTACCACGACCAAAAATACTCAGCGGATATCATCACTCAACTGGAGAGCTTGAGACTTGCGTAGGTGTGATCTTAAAGGCTACGATACAAATTCTTAAAAGATATTTTTCAATGACAAATCATGACTAACATAACGCTAAAACTACATGAAAAACCGTATAGTAACTTCAAAGATGTGTGTCAATGAATTAACAGACACATGGATTGGGTTTGGATTAGTATAATACTAGTCCTAGCGATAATAATTATCGCTTATATGTACTAGTACTATACTATATATACTACTATTTATGTAAGAATATAGAGTATGTATTGAGTATTTATTTTAATAACCATACCACTATACACCAGTATAATTATATTATTCTATATATATTCAAATATTTTTTTTTTGGTTTCTTGTTGTATTTTTAAATCTTAATTTATCGTCTCAAAGTTCTCTTCTTGTTGCACCTATGATACTCTCTCTGCATCACCCTAAGGTTGACTGGTGAGAATGCCTACGGCATTAAGTCCGCCTATGTAATGTTTTGTTGCATAAAGTGTAAATAAATAAATAAATACTAGCTTCAACCACAAGAAACTGATGAGATATTAAATTTACTACCGAGCGTCGTTTAATATATTTTTTGTGGTTTGTTTGTTTGCTGATATTGTTATTGACTTTTGTTGTTGTTAATTCCTCAACGCTCAATTATTGTGCATATGTATTGTGTAGACTTTTATAACTTTATAACCTATATGATTTTAAAATTTTATAAGTAGATATATTTAAAGTAACAACTACTGATGTTCTTAATAAAATAAATACACGCGTATCAAAGGTGAAAAGTAGCTTGTCTTCCAGACTTTAATCTATGTCTGCGTCCAATTACATTTTGATCCGTTCAGTAGTTTTTGAGTT